TTTGCAATAGTATGGAAAACAATATGAAACACTTAGAAATAAATTTAACCAAGGTGGTTAAAGATCTCCACACTGAAAATTACATAACATTGATAAAAGAAATTGAAGACCCAAATAAATGGAAAGATATCCCATGTTCATGGATTGAAATAACATTAAAATGTCCAGACTACCCAAAGCCATTTATAGAATTAATGCCACTCCTATCAAAATTCCAGTGGTATTTTCTACAGAAGTAAAAAACAATCCTAAAATTTATATAAAACACAAATGTGCCCAACTAGCCAAAGCAATCCTAAGAATAAAGCAGAAGGCATAACACTTTCTGATTTCAAGATAAATTATAAAGCCACAGTCATGTAAGAACAGAAATCTTAAAGCTCCTAGAATAAACAAGAGCCAATAGATGTTTCCCTCTCATTGATATTTCTCTCTCTTCCTCTTTCTGAATTTTTTTAAAAGGTACTTGACATGAGTCTTGACAATGACTCTTTAGATGACACCCAGAGAAAGCACAAGCAACAAAATGAAAATTAGGTAAGTGGAACTACATCAAAAAAAAAAAGTTTCTGCCCAGCAAAAAAAATTAACAAGCCGAAACCGGTTTGGCTCAGTGGATAGAGCGTCGGCCTAAGGACTGAAAGGTCCCAGGTTCGATTCCGGTCAAGAGCATATCCCCAGTGGGGAGTGTGCAGGAGGCAGCTGGTTGGTGTTCCTCTCTCATTGATGTTTCTAACTCTCTATCCCTCTCTTCCTCTCTGTAAAAAAAAAAAAATCAATAAAATATATTAAAAACAAAACAAAATTAACAAAATGAAAAGACAACCTATGAAACAAGAAAAAATATTTCAAGCCATGTATCTGATAAGGGGTTTATATCCGAAATATATAAGTAACCCATACAAATCAAAAACAAAAAAAATAACACTGCTGTATGGACAAAGGACCTGAATAAACATATTTCCAAAGATATAAATATGGCCAACAGGTATATGAAAGATGTTTAAGCATCACTAATCATTAGGGAAATGCAAATCAAAACTACAATGAGGTATCTCCTCAAGCCTGTTGGAATGACGGGCATCAAAAAAATCAAGATAAAGCAAAAGGTGTCAAGGATATGAAGAGGCGGGAACTGGTACAGACACTACGGAAACCTAATGAGTTTCCTCAAAAAATTAAAAGTAGAACCACCCTACTCCTTGGCTGAGTGGCTCAGTCAGTTGGAGCGTCGTCTCATGCACCAGAAAGGCCTCAGGTTAGATTCCCAATTCTCCGCACATACAAGGGTTGCAGGTTTTATCTTCGGGTTGGGATACGTGTGGGAGGTGGCCAATTGATGTTTCTCTCTCTCCCTTCCTGTCTCTCTAGAATAAAAAACAAACAAACAAAAACACCCACACACCAAAAATAAAAATAAAATAAAAATCATCTCACACCTGTCAGAATGGCTATCATCAACAAATCAACAAATGACAAGTGCTGGCGAGGATGCGGAGAAAAAGGAACCCTCTGTGCACTGCTGGTGGGAATGCAGACTGGTGCAACTGCTGTGAACAGTATGGAGTTTCCCAAAAAACCTGAAAATGGAACTCCTTTTTGACCCAGTAATTCCACTCCTAGGAATATATCCTAAGAAACTAGAAACACCAATCAAAAAGGATATATGCACCCCTATGTTCATAGCAGCACAATTTACAATAGCTAGGATTTGGAAACAGGTTAGGTGCCCATCAGCAGATGATTGGATCAGAAAACTATGGTACATCTACACAATGGAATACTATGCTGCCATAAAGAAGAAGGAATTCTTATCATATGCAGCAACCTGGATGGAATAGAACATTATGCTGAGTGAAATAAGCCAGTCAATGAAAGAGAAACACCACATGACCTCACTCATTTATAATAATAAAGAACATTATAAACTGATGAACAAAAGATAGATGCAGAGACAATAAAGCAACAAATAGACTGTCAAATTACAGTGGGGAGGGGAGGGAGATATGGGGGAGATAAGAGATCAACCGAAGGACTTGTATGCATGCATATAAGCATAACCAATGGACGCAAAACTCTAGGGAGGGAGGGCATACGTGAGGGGGGGTTGATAAGATATGTTCACATATAATACCTTAATAAATAAAAAAAATCACATGATCCAACAATTCCACGTCTGGGAATATTTCTGAAGGAAATAAAAACATTATATCAAATAGATGTCTGCATCCCCATGTACAGAGCAGCATCATTTACAACAGCCAAGACATGAAAACACGTAGATGTCCGTCGACAGATGAGTGTATAAAGATGATGATGTGTGTGTGTATGTATACACACAGTGGAATACTATCCAGCCATTAAAAAGTAGGAAATCCTGCTACTTGCAACAACATGGATGGACCTCAAAGGTAGTTTACTAAGTGAAATAAATCAGGCAGAAAAAGACAAGTACTGTATGATTTCACTTTCATGTGGAATCTAAAATAAAATCCAAACTCATCAAAAAGAGATCAAATGTGGTTACCAGAGGTGAGAGATCAGGGAGGAAAAACTAGAGAGGGATACTTAAAAGGTACAAATTTTCAGTTTTAACCTGTTAACCGAGCGGGACGTATAAATATGTCAAACATAAGCAATATCGGGAACGGGTAGGACGCATGAATACATCCTGGAAATATATGTTGCGCCCTGAGAGGGACAGTATATATTTTTGTAATCTTTATAATTGTTTGTAAAATTTATAATTTTTTAATTCGATGTTTCCATTTTTTGTTGGTATTCTTTTCTATTTTTTTTGTAATTTTGTATTTTCCTTTGTGCTTTATATATAAATGAAAAAAATATATATATCATTTATTTTAATTAAGTATAAATAAAAAAAATAATAATATGAAATTACGTCCTCCGGGCACGACGTACTGACACGTCCTAGTGAAAGAGTACGCGCCCATTACAGGTTGTGTAATTAAAAAGGGAACTGCCCGGTTAACAGGTTTTAAGTACCAGGGATATAATAATGTATAACATGTTGACTACAGTTAACATTGCTGTTTGGTATATGAACTTTAAGAGAGTAAATCCTGCCCTGGCTGGTTTGGCTCAGTGGATGAGTGTTGGCCTGTGGACTGGCGGATCCTGGGTTCGATTCCAGTCAAGGGTGCATATCTCAGTTGTGGGCTCGGTCCCCAGTGGGGGGCCTGCAGGAGGCACCCAATCAATGATTCTCTCTCATCACTGATGTTTCTATCTCTCCCTCTCTCTTCCTCTCTGAAATCAATTAAAAAAAATTTTTTTTAAAAGAGAATAAATCCTAAGATTTCTCATCAGAAACAAAACCATTTTTGGTATCTATAATGGAGTAATGGATATTAACCAGACTTACTGTAGTAACAATTTCATGATATGTATAAAACCATTATGCTTTACACCTTAAACTTGTACAGAGCTGTAGGTGAATTATCTCAGTAAGACTGGAAAAACAAAACAGAAGGATGGTGTGTACAGGCCACGAAAAGTAGGCATAGTTGGAAATAAGTTAGCTCCAGATTTTTACAGAAAAATTTACTAGTTTTATACCTTAAAACATTAAAGCTCTACCTTACTTGCCAAAACACCTCTGCTATACAGCTAGACCAGCAAGTTTCCCATGCTCTGCAGACTCTGTTTTACATATTCTCATGCCATGTTTTGGGACTTGGATATAAACAGTCCTGGCCGGTTTGGCTTAATAGATAAGAGCATTGGCCTGCTGACTAAAGGGTCCCAGGTTCATTTCTGGCCAGGGGCACATGCCCAGGTTGTGGGCTCAATCCCCCCTAGTGGTGGGTGTGCAGGAGGCAGCCGATCAATGATTCTCTCTCATCATTGATATTTCTGTCTATCTCTCTCCCTTCCTCTCTGAAATCAATAAAAAAATAAATATTTTTTAAAAAGAAAAAGGTAAACAAGGACTCTGTAGATGCAGGTAAGAAGTAAACAGAAGGGATAAAAAGAACTAAAGCCGAAAAAGTATTCCTTGTCATCTGCACAAAGTACTTACTGCTTTAGGATACCATGGCACCTTTTTTTGAGAACATCGAACCTTATTTTTATAATCCACTACAATTCTAATTTGTGATATGAGGACTATAATGACCGTATCACAAGTACAGTTAAGTAAAACAGATAGTTTGCTACAGAAGGCTGGAATGATTATAGAGATTTCCCATAAGGCATCGTGACTCGTAAGAGCCCATGTATTTGATAATAGCTCTCAAGAGCTTGCCCAGTGATGAGGAGATAAACTCTCCACCAGAGGAACCTCACCATCAAGCTGACATTCAGATTGGCAAGACGACTCTAGCCATCCTTGATGGCGTGAGACAAAATCCAAGAGGCTAAATTCTCATTACCCTTTTAAAAGAAAACATTACAAATCACATGTCGTGTACCTTTACTGCTTCACTGGCTAGCAAAAGGCACATTCTGAGTTCCAACTACAAACTCCGTATGTTCAGCAACGCAGCACAGGTCCCAGTCTCCAACAGCGTCCCAAACACGGCCCCTGTTGGGAGTTAAAGACCGGAGCTGGGAGCTGCCAACTGCCATTGCCAAGAATGAAAAGAAACCACCTTATTCACTAACTTCTGCAATTCCTTCTGCAATGATTTTATTATAAATATGTTACTTTGGAATAAACAAATATTGCATTCAAGACTATCTGCAAACTTGTGCTAAAGGAATAAAAGGGAAAATGGAACCAGGAACCACTTAGAAGAAGAGATAAAACAGCACAGACACCTGCATGCCTCTCCCCCAAGAAGAGAAGTTAACAGGGAACATCACATTTCTCATCAGCCTATTCAGTTAGAATAAGCTTTGAGTCTGGTAATTTGAACTTGTTCTGTAAACGGAACTGCTCCTCTCCTCAGTCCTAAGGAGTAGAATGGGAAGACAGTCTTCAGATCCCAGTATCATCAAGAAAGATCTTGATTTTGTATTTGTAACTCTTTGCTCACCTACAAAACTGTTCATTATTTGCTAGGAGCAATGTCGGAGTAGTCCTTCAGCACTCCAGCCATGTGTTCGTTATGAGTCTTAAATCGTCGCTTTTTCTGTGAAGCAGGCTTTTTCCTTCTCTGGATAGGGGCCTACAGGAAAAGGTAAAAACAAACAGCAGCTCTCAGAGGGTAAAGCATAAGGACTTACTCAGGATGCTCAGAAACCAGCAGCAAGAGATTCAGGGTATTTGGCTTGTTTTGCTGCTTTGTAACCAAACTTCACGCACATCAACCCACAGCACACTCCCAACCACAAACAAGAAACTATACTTTCTATTATGATACATATGCATCTACTGGAATAAATGGGTTGGCACAACTTCTCAGAATTATTCTAGGCACTAAGTAAATAAAAAGAGAGGCAGTAAAGTTTTGTTTTTCATCACTATTATCTGGTTTAAAAATATATACTTCAGCCCTGGCCAGTATTGCTCAGTAGGCTGGGTATCAAACCAGGAGGCTGCTGGTTCGATTTCTAGTCAAGGGCATGTGCCTTGATTGCAGGCTTGATCCCCGCTAGCGGGCAAGCAGGAGGAAACCAATCGATGTTGTACTCTCACATCGATGTCTCTATCCCCACTTCCTCTCTCTCTAAAAAAAAAAATCCTATCTAATAAAGAGGGAATGTGCTACTTGATCATCACTCCGTCACAAAGATGGCTGCACCCACAACAGAGGCCAAGTTCCCATAAGGAGCCTTAACAAACAATCAGCAGGGACCTGAGGCTACATCCTCCTGCGACCCCATGGGGCTTGACAGGGGACTCAAGGTGCACTTCCCATCCTGGTGCTGGGCTAGGGGACCTCAGGCTGCTTCCCCACCCCACCCTCCGCCCCAGTGCCAGGCCAGAGGACATCTGGCCACCCCCCCACCAGGTTGGGCTTGACAAGGGACTTCAGGCCCCACCCCCCACCCCAGCACCAGACCAGTGTACCTCAGGCCGCACTCTCCCCAACCCCCCCCCCCACCGCCCCAGCACTGGGCCAAGGGACCTGAGGCTGCACACCCGGCCTGGCTGGGCTTGACGGGGGACCTCAAGGCATGCCCCTGTCCCGATCTGGGCTGGGAGACCTCAGGCCAAGCCCCCAGTCCTGGCGCCGGGCCAGAGGGCCTGAGGCTATGCCCCCTGCCCAGCAGGGCTTGACAAGGGTGGGACTGGTCGGTCTGGAACTAGCCCAATTGGGGGTGGAGGGTGGCCAGGTCTGGGTCTCACGGGATTTTGAGGTGTATGTGGGTGGGCAGGGACCTGACTCTAGGTCCTGTAGAGCCCCAGACTCTGACAGGAGGAAGGATTTTTACTAACTTTCTTTTTTCTTTTTCTTTTTTTTTTTAAATATATTTTTTATTGATTTTTTACAGAGAAGAAGAGAGAGGGATAGAGAGTTAGAAACATCGATGAGAGAGAATCATCGATCAGCTGCCTCTTGCACAACCCCTACTGGGGATGTGCCCACAACCCAGGTACATGCCCCTGACTGGGATCGAACCCAGGACCTTTCAGTCCACAGGCCGACGCTCTATCCATTGAGCCAAACCGGTTTCGGCAGATTTTTACTAACTTTCCTTCATCTCTGACACTTGCATTACACAGAAAGGGCAAATAGCAATATTAAATTATTTCCTCTAATTAATCCCCTTTTAATGTGCACAAATTTAGTGCACTGGGTCACTGGAGTGAATGTGAGTGTGTGTGTGTGTGTGTGTGTGTGTGTGTGTAAATCCAACGTAAATAAAGCAAACAGACATATGGCAAAATTAGGAAGTAGATGAGCACATGAAGATTTGTTATTATTATTCTCTATTTTTTTCAGTATACCTGAAACCAAAAGCACTGGATGTACACTAATTTACGGAGATCACTGGCAATAAATCTTCCTTTTTAAGGAGCCCTAAAAATTCACCGAAACACACACCCACAAAAAGTAAGGAAGAAGGCAAGTTACACAGCCTGGTGGTGGACAGAAAAAGAGGTTAGAGAGGTGCTGCAGCTGGAGTCTAAAATGTGAACTAGTTCTCATTTAGGCTTTGTCCTTGGACTAGCACAGTTATTTATTAGCCAGCACAGACCATTTCACAAGTCTTCATCCCATTATAAATCCTTCCTCAGAGCAGGATTTAGGCTAAAAGATTGTATTACCTGGTTCAGAGGGATCTGGAAGGTAACAAGGACAATTCAACGTGATCAGGACTGAGGGAGAGCCAGACTCCAACACGACGGGGCCCTGGAGCAGGAGTCTGGGGGTAGGGTAGACGGCTAGTCTTAAAAGGCCACGATCAGGACATGTGAGCACTAGGAAAAGTTTGCTATGGCTGGAACTTAAGAGCAGACATTACTAGGACAGGGCGGTCGGAAGGGGAAAATTCGCACATGCCTGGGGAGCAACCCTGGCAGAGATCTGATGGCCCTCAATAGACCACATGCAATCTGGTTTGCAACTGACCAATATCAATGGATCAGGACACAGAAAAAACTGAAAGGGAGAACCCACTACCTGCTCTTCAGAGAAGAGAAAGCAGGCTAACAGTTCAAAGAACAGAGGACTACATTTTTTCCCAGCGGTTACATACCACTTTCTTTGGTCCGGATTCCTGCATGGAAGAAATACCCTGTCGCTTCAGATATTCTTCAATTTTCTCCTCATCCATTGAATCCACAGTGACACTCCTCCACAGTTTCTGAAACTCTGTGCCAACAAAACAGTAGATATTTTACAATAGATGTTTATAAGCTATAGCATCTCAGTGACGGGAATCCAAGCTTCAATGTTAACTCCCCTGATCTATATTTGCACATCTGCGATTTCATTATAAACACAAAGGAAGTGAGACAACATTCAAATGCTGGACACTGAGCAGAAGGGCCTGAGAACAGAACTGCATCCTCACAGAACAGGTCAGTAATGCTCTATTTTCAGTCTGTAAATGAGGGGCCATGTGCGAAAGGCCTCCCTGCTTTCCTGGGGAGGAAAGGCAGTCCCAGTCTCCTTTTATTACACCAATCAGTCCTCTGCACTGAAATAGTTCAAATTCCTGCTCATCTCCCCTGAGCTCAGTACTCCATTTCCTCTCCTATTGGTAAAAAGAAACACACAGGGACAATGGGAACATTTTACATGGAGTGAGGAGCTATACAGATCACAGCTGACCCTTGAACAACATGGGTTTGAACTGCACAGGTCCATTTCTATGCAGATTTTTTAAAAAGTCCTCACCTGAAGATATTATTTTCACATTGATTTTCTTTAGAGAGAGTAGAAGGGCAGGAGAGGGGAGTGGGGGAAAGGAAAGATAGAAAAGAGAAAGACATCGATGCAAAAGACACACCGATTGGTTGCCTCCCACATGCACACAGACGGAAGCCGAGGATTGAGCCTGTAACCAAGGTATGACTGGGTATTGAGCATTGACCGGCAATCAAACCTGAGACCCTTCACTCCAATGGCTGATGCTCTAACCATTAAGCTAAGCCATCCAGGGCTATACACAGATTTCTTTCAATAAATGCATTGAAAAATTTTTTGGAGATCAGTGACAATTTGAAAAAACTCAAAAACCTTATTAAATACACACACACACAAACACACACACAAGCACATATTTTTAGTATAGCAAAGGTAGAGGTTTATTGAAGAACAAGTACAGACTCCCAGGGGAGAGGGAAAGGTGCTGGAGGCTAATTCCAGCAGATCATAAATGCAAGAAGTTCATCAAAACGTGGTGCACCTTGAGCCTCAGCAAGGGCTGAAAGATACATATTATTGCCTACAGGAATGGCCAAAAACATTTCCTCCAAAGCTAAATTTATATAAATAATTGCTTGCTGCCAGACAACTGAGGGCATTTCAATCTACATGTTATTGCCTCCTGCTGGCCAAACATCTGAACAGCTGAAGGCAGTTCCCCCAAAACTGACAATGCCTACTATATATTAAATCTTACCTTTGATATGTACATCTACTTTGCTCTAGGGAAAATGTAGAAACAAAGAGAACCCTGAGTCCGGAGATAGGGAGAACTTAGCTACTATAGCTAAGCTTCCTCTGGCTCTCCCGTGAATTACAAGCTTATATTGTATTTCTAGTCTCTTTATTAATTGACATGCAGTGCCTTCTCCAGATCCCTGAACCCTTCTAGATGCTGGATTAAGACCCCTGGCATTAGAGAGGCTTCCCTTAAATTTTTCATAACATTTTCTTTTCTCTACCTTACTTTATTGTGAGAATTCATTATGTAACATATAAATATGTTAACTGACTACTTATTTTATCAGTAAGGCTTCCAGTCAATAGTAGGGTATTAATTGCTATATTTTTGAGGAGTCAAAAGTTGCAAAGCATGCCCTAGCCGATTTGACTCAGTGGATAGAATGACTGAAGGGTCCCAGGTTCAATTCCAGTCAAGGGTATGTACATTGGTTGCAGGCACATCCCCAGAAAGGGTGTGCAGGAAGCAGCTGATAGATGTTTCTCTCTATTCCTCTCCCTTCCTCTCTGCAAAAAATCAATAAAGTATATTACTAAAAAAAAGTTACAGTGTGGGGTTGGAGGTGGGGTGGGGGAAGAGATTAACCAAAGAACTTATATGCATAACCCATGGACACAAACAATAGTAAAGTGAAAGGGGGTGGAGGTGGAGAGAGCAGGTAAAGGGAGATCAGTGGGGGGAGGAGGAAAGAAGGGACATCTATAATACTTGTAACAATAAAAATAAATATTAAAAATGAAAAAGGGAGGGGCTACACTGTGTGGAGGGTTGGAGCTTCTAGTTCCTGCTTGGAATTAGAAAAATGTGTAAAGTGTGGCTAAAAGGTAGGTAGTTGGGACTTCTACAATAGCTTTTCTAATTCCAAGCAAATTCTATAAGCTCGCATATAAATATGTTATAATAGTAAACTCCGTCATGACCTTTGAGCTATTGTCATAAATTTTACCATTACATATACTTTAAAAATAAAATACATTTAATATTTTTGTTTTAAGCAGCTATCTTTCAGAGCAGTTAAACATAAGAAAAGGTTTTTAATTAAAATTAACATTTTTAAATTAGAAAGACATGAATTGTATATTTACCTTCATTTATTCCATTTAGAGCACTCTCACTTATTTGTACAGGTCCAACTTACTGTCTAGTATCCCTTCTGCCTGAAGAACATCCTCAGTACTTTTAGTAATGCAGGTCTGATGATAATTCTCCCAGTTTCTGTCATGTCAAGAGAGTATTACTTTGAAAGTAGTTCTCTTTCATTTTGAAAGTATTTTTTGCTGGGTACAGAATTCTAAGTTGAAAAGTTTTTCCCTTTTGGCACTTAAAAGATATCACTGCAATGTCTTTTGATTTGCATGGGTTCAAATGAGAAGTCTGCTGTAATCCTTTTTTCCCCTCTATACTGAGCTTTTCCCTCTATCTTCAATATTTTCTCTTTATCTTCATTTTTTCAGCAGTTTGAATATAAGCTTTCCTAGCATTTGTTTCAGGGGTGGTAATCTTGCCACTTGTATTCTCTTAGCTTCCACATCTTTGTTTTGTTGTCTATTGTTAATTTTGGAAAATTCTTGGCCATTATTTTTTCTATCCCATTCTCTTTCTCTTCTTCTGGATTTTAATTACACATTCAGACCACTCTATGTTATCTCAAAGCTAATGGATGCTGTTTTTAATTTTTCATGTTTTTCTCTTTGCCATGTCAGTTTAAATCATTTGTATTGGCCTATCCGAAAGTTAAGATTCTTTCCTTGGTCATGCCAAGTTTACTGATGATCTTATTGAAGACATTATTTCATTATTGTGCTTTTCATTTATAGAATTTTCATTTAATTATGTTTACCTTTCTGCTGAAATATCCTAACTGGTCATACATGTTGTCTGCCACTTCTACTAGAGGGCTTAACATATTAACCAGTTATTTTAAATTCCATATCTGATAGTCCCAATATATGTGTCCTAAGAATATGGTTCAGTTAATTTCCTGGCCTCAAAAGTGCATTGCTTTTCTTGTTTCTCTTTATGACTCAATTTTTTTTTTTTTTAAACAGGATATCCTCTGTAAGACAGCTGAGACTGAGGTAAACAGATTTTGTGCCTGGAAAGACACACACCTTCCTTTCTGCTAGGCCTTTAGTGTGTGGAGGTGGGGTCATTCCATTGTCAGGACCTGAGCTTAGTTTGGAATTTATTGCTACCATTGTTACCCATAATGCACCACAAGCTTCAAATTCCTGGCAGACAACATGTATTCATAGAAGCTCATTTGCTAGAGGGTTTTTCTGTGTCTGCTCAACCTGTGGTCTTCCCTTTATGCTGCACCTAAGAAGATCTGTTAGCCCCAGGCTCTTGCACTTCCCTGCATTAACTGCTAGCCATTTCGGTTAGCCCGGTATGGGGGTGGGAGTTCTCTGTTAATGTCATTAAGCCTGGTCTTGGGCAAGCACTGTGTTCCCTGGTGACTGGGGAGTGACCTCCTAAGTGTCCTGCCCTGCCCTGCCCTGCCTCCTCTGCTGAAGTTCTGGACCCAGCACAGCTTTGCCCTTCTTTCCTGTAGGTAGAGGGTTTTCTTTCTGATCCCCTCCCACAGCAATTTAAGGCTTTGTCTTCTCCTAGAAGAGACAAGGGGAAGACAGGGAGAATTCATCTTTCCTGAAGCATCTACTTACTGCTCCCTCCTCCAGACCTGCCCAATGAAGGAGTATGCCCACCCTACCCTTATCTTTTTTTTGTAGACATCAAATAAAGTCTGTGGAGTCAGGTGCAAATTCCTATGTATCTGCAGACTCCAGAGGTTCTATACTGTCTTGCTAGTCCATACAAAGCCTTTAGCAGTTCATTGAAAAATTCAACTGACCTGGTTGGGGCGCATGTGGGAGGCAACCAATTGATGTATCTTTCTCACATCAATATTTCTCTCTGTGTCTCCCCCTCCTTTCCACTCTTTCTAAAAATCAATGGAAAAAATATCCTCAGGTGAGGATTAACAAAATAAAACAAAAACATGAAGAAAAAATACAGAATCAAGTCAGTTGTTAACATGTATATTTTATGTTAAAATTGTACTTCTTTCTCAAAAAAATTTTTTTCCAACTGAATTCTTATGGGCACTGTTCATTTTGTCTGTCCCAGGTAACCAAGAGCTTCTATTCCATCTTTCCTTAATGCTTGCTTTTCTTAGATTTGGGGTCAAGTAATGGCCCTGCAACCTCAGCTCTCCGCTAGATTCAAGAAAATGGTACATTTGCAGCTGTCTAGGATTTGTTGTTGTTGTTGTCATCATTGTTATAAGGGTAGGAACAATGCTTTCTCCATTCTAAGTGAACACTAGAATTCCCAACTACCTACCTTTTAACCACATTTTACACATTTTTCTAATTCCAAAAAGGCACAAAAATTGTTTTAAAATGTACACCATAACCAGAATTTTATTTGGTTTACCATGGCTATTGAAGGAAATACGTCACATAAAATAGTTCTTGAGTTTTAACCATGATTTTTTCATGAATGTGGAGAAAGCACATGCTCAGTTGACAAAAGTATTGAGAAAAAACATGTTTTTCTTCAATTTTATAAAATCATTGCAAGAAAATACAAATTAAAATCAGGACAATCTTTGTTTTCTACAAGGCAGGCAAAGTCAACTAACAACATCCAGTACTAGGGAGGGTGAGGAAATGGATACCTTCTCATATACTGCTGTGAAGGGATAAATTGGTTCAAATTTTATGACGGGTATCAGGCAAGCTGTTGAAAAATTTTAAAATATGCCTATGTTTTGACCCGGCAATTCTACTAAAAACAAAACAAAACAAAAAACTACAATAAGGAGATAATTAGGCAAATGGACAATTATATTTATGTGCAAGGATTGAGCATTATTTATAATATCATATAGAAAAAAAAATAAAACAAAAAAGCAACCTAAATTTCTATCTGTGGACATCAGAAAAATGGTTTACAGTACATCCATAAAGATTGAATAGCATATAGCCATTAAAAATAATAAAACAGCCGAGACAGGTTTGGCTCAGTGGATAGAGCGTTGGCCTGCGGACTGAAAGGTCCCGGTTCGATTCCGGTCAAGGGCATGTACCTTGGTTGCGGGCACATCCCCAGTAGGGGGTGTGCAAGAGGCAGCTGGTCGATGTTTCTCTCTCGTCGACATTTCTAACTCTCTATCCCTCTCAATTCCTCTCTGTGTAAAATCAATAAAATATATTTAAAATAATAATAATAATAATAATAATAAAACAGCATCAAAGATTCTAGGGAAGTAACTACTGGGAGGGGTCCTGAATTTTAAGAATCAAATTGAAACTGTTTAAGTTTCCAGGCAGAAAAGAACAAGATACCAGCAAGGGATAAAGTCATCGGCTTTGGTGAAGTACCAATAAACATTACATAACTGTAAAAGGTCAGTGCAAATCTAGATCTGAGGCAAATTATGCCTCAGACTGCTAAATTGCCTTTTTTTGCTGTCTAATCAAATACAAAACTTACAGATCCACTGAATCAATCACCAGATAACTAAGTAAAGGTAAATAAGTAATCAGATAAGATTAAACACCGAGTATTTTGGTGCTCTTTTCATCTTTTCAATGCTACTAACAACAGCTAACATTACTGTTACTATTGTATTATTCTTTATTTTGCAGGATTTAATTATTTTTAAAATCTTTATTGTTGAAAATATTACAAAGGTGCCCCCCCCCCCAATTAACTTCATCCAGTCCGCTCCTGTCCTGCCCCCAGGCCCTCACCACCCCACAACTGTCTGTGTCCACATATATGCATATAAGTTACTTGGTGATTTCTTCCCACCTACTTCCCACTTATTCTTACTATGTGCCAGGTTCCCTTCTAAGCTCTAAGCAATTTTATTTACATTAACTGATGTAATCCTCTTAAGGGCAATAAGATACAGGTTCCTATTTTATAGATAAGGAATCTCAGACAGGGGTTAAATACCTTGCCTAAATTAGTAAGGGGCTCAGCTAAAATTTAAACCTACAGTTTGACTATTCAGGCCATCCTCTTGACCACTGCATTTATACTGCCTCTAAATGAATAAGATCCTGATTTAAGAAAATACTAAATGCCTTTGTGAAATTAGATACATACCTAGATCCAACTATTCTGTGTTCAATCAAATTCTATTTGATTTGTAAAAAATCAAAATTTAATTTTTAAAATTACTATACAATAAATTCTCTTCTTACTTACACTCTCATTGTAGGATATTTGCTTCTATTACAGAGGTAATAAAATATGATTCTTCAGAAACTGAATACTTGCTCACCTAAGATTTCTACTTTATAGCTAAGACTGCCACCTAGTGGGCCACGGCAAAAATCTTTATCAATAAAATCGAGACAAAGAACTTTAAGGTACAAAATACAAAATACATAAAAATAGGAAGACAAATATTAAGATACTAGAAGCCTGATGCACGAATTCATGAATGGATGGGGTCCCTCAGCCTGGCCAGCGATGGTGGCCAGCAGGCCGGGGAGGGATGGCAGGAGGGCTCCAGAGCAGGTCCAGCCTTCTTGCCCAGTCCCTATCAGCCGGACTCAAGCAGCAGACTAACCTACCGTTCAGAGAGTCTGCCCCCTGGTAGTCAGTGCGCATCATCATAGTGACTGGTCGATTGGTCAGAGACTTACCATATTACACTTTTATTATATAGGAATGTATCAACTTTCAATGAGACTTTTCTAGAAGCTCACATTTTCCATAATTAACAAAAACCCAGATTTTTTTTAAATTAGAGATTTATGAAATATTGACGCTTTCAACTACAAGAACAGTGCCTCACCCCTGAGGTTCCTGTGGATAACTGTTCTCCCTAGGGCCTTACAGCACTGTATGAAGACCACAAGGACAATTTGCACCATGTTGTACTATATGTGTTCCTGGGTCATTCCTTCCTCAGCCTATAAGTTCAAGGACAGAAACCTCATTCACGTTAATGTCCCTTGTATCGATGAATGGCTTGAATGCAAAAGTGCATGAAAAAAGTTTGAAGAGCCCTGGCTGGTGTGTCAGTGGTTAGAGCATCAGCTCAGGACCAAAGGGTCTCAAGTTCGATTCCCAGTAAAGGGCTTGCAACTGGGTGCAGGTTTGTTCTGCAGCCCTGGTCAGGAGCCCGCAAGAGGCAACCAATCTATATGTGTTTCCCTCACACCAAGGTCTGTCTGTCTGACTGTCTCTCTCCCCCTCCCCCACTTCTGGACTCTATCTAAAAACAATGGAAAAATATCAACTGAGGATTTTTTAAAGAGAAGTCAGAAGACTATCTTAATTTTTCCCTATTTTATAAACATAAGCTGAACCTTTTAAAAAATCCTCACCAGAGGATAGTTTTTTATTACTATTGATTTTTTGAGAGAGGTAAGGATAGTGGAAAAAGAGGAAGAGAGAAAGAGAAACATCGATGTGAAAAACATCAATCTGTTGACTCCCCTACTTACTCCAAACAAGAACTGAACCCATAACCTAGGTATACACCCTGACCAGGAATCGAACCCACAACCTTTTGATGTTCCAGCCAATTGAGCCACCGGGACAGGGCCATATATGCTGTACCTTTAATAGAATTCTCAACCCTGGCAACTTGCTCCCCAGGGAACATTTAGTAAGGTCTGGGACCTTTCTGATTGTGACAGTTTGAGGGAAAGTATGCTACTGGCATCTAAAGAAATCAGACATGCTGCTCAACATCCTATAGTGTACAGTGACAACCCCAATACCAAAAGACATTATTCTGCTATAAATATCAACACGAGCAAGATTGAATGGCCTGCTTCCTCCCAACCATTTTTCCTAGAAAGTACAGATTAATAAAAAATAGCAGTTTACAATGATAAACTGAGCCTAGAACCCAATTGTTTTATATTAGAAACTTATTTTTATATTGGTTTAATACACACAGGATTTTTCTAGAAACATACAGTTTCTATAAGTATATAGAATATAGTATGATTAACCTTTGTAAATCAAAGCTGCACTTTTTAGTCTCAGATCTTTACAAAGAATTCTTTATCACTTAAAGGAAAATACCAATTATGACATGTAAGTTGCCAGTGCATCACAACTGTATTAGTCTATTTGTTGCTACCACACTGTAGACAAAAAACCCTCCACAAAAACAGTTTTACGGAAAATAATTTCACAAGGTAATCTGATCATAAATTCCTAAATGGGCAGGACATGGTGGGCAATCATATAATATGATAATCAAAAGAGAAGTTACTTACGAGAGTATCAGTCATCAACAACTTTTTCCCAACATGCATAAACTTTTCATATCAAGATACGAAGTAGTATTTTTAAAAATAATCAAGAAATAAACTCTTTTTTTTTTTTTTTTTTTTGTACAACTGAACTACAAGCATAAGAAATCATAAAATACAAGCATCGTGCTATACAGGCAGTCCTCGGGTTACGCTGGACTCGACATACATCGTTTGGTGGTTACCTCACCATCTCCCATTTATAGTCTTTATTTAAAAAAAAAATTTCTGTCATATAGACATATGTACATATGTGCTTCATGTTTTTATTATTTATTTACCACAAGTAAAGGTCAGGAATTGTTATCTTTCTTTTAAATTTTTTTTACTGTTTCACTTCATTACTGCTGTGTGTGTGCTCCATGTGAGTGATGAGGTGCTTTGTAGGTGGGTTCCAACTTACGGTGAAAATCATGTTATATTGCACCGTAGGAACATATCTCCCACATAACCCGAAGACCTACTGTATAGGCAAACTGCTATAGCATGATTCCAAGTGCTACAATTAACCTGAACTCTTTCAAATTACATTAGGAGGTATTAGCTCTGTTCTAAGTGATGACAATGCTTTAAAAAAAAAAAAAAAAAGGCAGTATTATAAAATTTGAGTTATAAATTGTATATTATAAATTTTGTCACCTTAAATTTGTAACATACTTGCAAACTAAAGAAAGTATTATTACAGAAAGTCTTACCTTCGTCCACAGAAAATTGACAGCTTTTATCATTGAAGAAAAGAATTTTCTTCTTATCAGGACGATTTACAAATAATATCTGGTCCCCTAAAGCCTTCAAAATAAAGGAAAATTTTTCAGTTAACTCCATCAATACCCAACTATTCTTTCTTCTTCTTCTTCTTTTTTTTTTTTTTTTTTACAACAAAGGACTTCCATTTCTTTTAACCCTCAGTATACCAATTTCAGTTCTTGAGTTTCTTAAGCAGTTCTGACTATAATTAAGAGTTGATATTTCAAGACGTTTATTCTTAGAGGTCTTTCAAAGTACAGAAAAAAATACCTATTTTAAAAGAAACAGAAAAAAATTCAGTATGTGTGACAATTACAATTTGGGACCACAGGACCTTTTTATTAATCTAAGAAAAATGGGCAGATTTTAGTGTTTTCACTTTTCCCTATACCTTGAAATATTTTGCTACTTACTCATCATTACACCTCAATTATTTCCAAGTATGTTTTAAAAGCTAAAATAAGAAAATGGAAGAATGATCAAATCACCTAGAATTGTAATGCTACAGTGAAATAGCCACATTTCAGTTTTCTTATTGCCCAAATTACTGCATCATCCACCAAGAAAATATAAAAGACTGGGGAAACTTTGTTGTCTTTCACCTTTCTTGGCACAACTGACAATTCAGAATTTATTTTCTACTACTCAGAGCAATGACAAGAAAACTGAAAGATGTTTCACTATTATTAATGAGAACAAGAATGAAAAAGCCTGAGAGCAGCACTTTAGACCAGAGGTCACCAACCGGTGGTCCGTGGACCACTGGTGGTCTGTGAGGTCTGAAAGTTTGGACTCTACTGACAGTAAAATGCATCACAGAAATGGTCTCAAACTAAAAGTGCTTAGATGACAATACCACAGATGAATAATCTCAAGCTTACAAATCAATGTGAACAATCTATTTCGAAAGACATAAAGAAGAGTATTTTTAATCAGTTATTCAACAAGAAGGACTTCATCATACAAAATTGTGTGATATGAATCTTTGCCATCTCACTTTGCTAAAAGGACATATAATAATATTCTTTCATCTTTCTGATGTTTGCCAATATATACTTGGTACAAAGGCTTGCTATGCTAAATCCTTATTAAAACATTGACTAAATCTATTTCCCTCTATCCCTTTATTTTTATGTAAATTATACATAACATGGTTTAAAATATTTTTGTAAATAATAAAATAGACTTCACTGCTCCCAGGTAGTAAGAATAGAATAAACATTCTGGGTTCAGACAATTTAGAAATAATCCCTCCTAAAAATGAAATAAGCTTAAGCTCTAATCCTTAGGAAACACGGCCACTAAAGATAGAGTATCAAAGTAACTTTACATCACAAAATTATCTAAAATAGAATAAACAATTACCAGTTTATGTCACTGTTCTATTAAGAATGTAATGAAAAGCCTACTGCATAGTAATAATGCTGGTCCCTAAGAAAAAATGGGAGGAAAAAACAAAAAAAACACACAAAAAACAGCCCTAACTCGTTTGGCTCAGTGGATAGAGCGTCGGCCTGTGGACTAAAGGGTCCCAGGTTCGATTTCAGTCAAGGGCATGTACCTTGGTTTTGGGCACATCCCCAGTGGATGGTGTGCAGGAGGCAGCTGATGGATGTTTCTCTCTGATGGATGTTTCTCTCTATCCCTCTCCCTTCTGCAAAAAATCCATAAAATATATATTATAAAACACACACACACACACACACACACAAAAAAAAAAAAAAAAAGAGGAGGAAACATAGCTAGCACTCTCATCCGTTAAGCTAGAATTCAGTAATTCTACATTTTTAACATCTACAAAGTAAATAATTTATATACTTTGGTCCATTTCATTTGCAGCATTTCTGCAGGTTAAGCTTACCAGTAGATACTTTCTAACTTAAAAATCTTAAAAGGGTCAGGCTTCTAGCAATGGTCAAGTAGCTCCTAAGAGACCAACCCAACCCTCACACAGAAAAGTACTATAAATTCTGGACATTTTTCAAAAAAGTAAAAGAGCTAAAAGAACAAAACAGATCATACGCCACCCACTGTAGAAAAGAAAGTCTGGAATGCAGTCTAGCCAAGATACCTGATCACTTAAAAACAAAACCAACAAACAAAAACATTCTTTGGAGGTGTAAAACAGAATCCTGTTTTACAATATTCAGTAAACAGAACATTATCTAACAGAAATTTATTAGATATATGAAGTAACAGGAAATTCAAGAGACAAAGAGTCAGTGCAGACCAGCTCCAAGAAGCAACTATATAATATATTATATTCAAGGGGGTAAAAGGAAATTTGCTTGTAAAGAATGAAATTTCAAAAAAGAAAGCATAAAGAATATAGAGTCTAGAAATGAAAAATATATTATCTAAAATAAAAAATTCACCAATTGGGCTTAACAAATTGGAAGTAAAGAAAAGTTAGTGGACTTAACAAACAAAAGACAGGTTGGAAACATATTTATACAGAGCCTCAGAAATTTGTGGGATAACACCAAAAGGTCTAATATATGTAACTGAATTACCAAAAGATAGAGGAGAGAAGAGAGTAATTTTTTCCAACAGGTAACAAAAATACTGAACCTGCTTACAGGTTAGCATTTATCATCAGTGACTGTGAAGAATAGAGACTAAGCAGCCTTTCCCTGTGAGCCTCAAATTTAAACAGGAAATGTAATCTGTATGACTTTTTTTTTTAAAATATATTTTATTGATTTTTTACAGAGAGGAAGGGAGAGAGATAGAGAGCTAGAAACATCGATGAGAGAGAAACATCGACCAGCTGCCTCCTGCACACCTCCACCAGGGATGTGCCCGCAACCAATGTACGTGCCCTTGACCGGAATCGAACCTGGGACCCTTCAGTCCACAGACCGATGCTCTACCGCTGAGCCAAACTGGTTTCAGCATCTGTATGACTTTTAAATTCTCACTCACGCATATGTTTTATTGATTTTTGAGCGAGACAGAGACATCAATGCAAGAGAAACATACATCAGTTGCCTCCCGTATTGCGCCTGACCTAGAATGGAACCTGCCACCTTTTGGTATATGGGACAATGTTGTAACCAACTGAACCACTGGCCAGGGCAAAACTTTCCAGAAACATTCTGAAGAGTCAAAAAAAATCACACATATCATCATCACAAAAGGGAGCTGTCACAGGTACACAAAAATGGCTATGCTCAGTAGCACAAACACAAATTTCAAATTTTCAACTGCCCCACCACAACCCCAAGTATATATGAAGAAGGCTTTAAAAATAAAAATTTAGCCCAGCCAGGTGGCTTAGTTGGAGTATTGTCCCGTACATCAAATTATTGTCCAGTCAGAATTCATATGGGAGGCAACAGATCAATGTTTCTCACATCAATACTTCTTTTTTTTAATATATTTTATTGATTTTTCACAGAGAGGGAGAGAGAGGGATAGAGAGTTAGAAACGTCGATGAGAGAGAATCATCGACCAGCTGCCTCTTGCACACCCCCTACTGGAGGTGTGCCCGCAACCAAGGTATTATACATGCCCTTGACCGGAATCGAACCCAGGACCTTTCAGTCCGCAGGTCGACGCTCTATCATCCATTGAGCCAAACCGGTGCCAGCTCAATACTTCTAATATCCTCAGGTGAAGATAAAAATAAAAATTTTAAAATTCTTGCTTTTTTAAAAAAGTGAAATGACATTATTAATTCAAATTATATTAAAGCATAGAAAGAAAAGTTACCTTGACAGCTTTCTGGGAATTGGGCAGTCCTTCCTCTATATCTTCTAGAAGAATTCCTCCTAAGCCTCGCTGGTCATGCTTATCTAAGAGCCTAAGCAGAGCCTTCTTATCTTTTAAATTGTACTTGGGCTTGAAGGCATACTTCCCATCTATTACTTCAATTTTGGGATTATTGACTAATGCCTGTAACAATGACACAATTTTAACATATTAACAAAAAGAAAAGCTCAAACTCCACTAATTATTTTAAAAATACAATATCCAATTAATGGCAAATTGAAAGTATCTTATGTATATCAACTAGTAAATCTAAAATCCTGAACATCCATGATCCAAAATAAAAGACTATAGAGATCAGCATGGTGCTCAATTTTTATCAAAGAAAATTAATTATATAAATTATTTTGATGAGAAATAAACCATTTTATCACAACTACTTTGAAGAAAGCTTTACCCACATTCTTTTGGAAAACTAAAGAGGTAAGAATCAATAAAACAGCTATTAACATTAATAGACAAAGTAAACTGGGTATTGCCTATCCCACTCTCAAAGTATATAGTTTATTGCATATTGCCATTATGGGATAAACACTACATTGAGATGAAGATATCAACAGCCAGTCTGCCCCACTTGGTATCAAATAGCAGCTGTGGAAGGAAATGAAAAGGACCAAACTAGTGCATATAAGAATGAAACTGAGTAGGAACATAGGAATTACTGAATATGATTGTGTTCCTAGTCAGTTCTGTTGTTCAGCAAATATCAGAAGAAAACTCTTCAAGAAAGCAACCCTATTTTCTTTTGCAGCTGCCAGCCTGACCCTGAAAGGAGAACAAAAAGAAACAAAGGAGGAGGGAGAATAAAATAGTAATAAATGTAATCTTTAATATCTGTAGTCTGTGAAATTCCAAGATTAGGTATAGCAATAAAATTTAAATGTGGATTACCACTATTTGTATATCATTAATACAATGAGCTACAATGATAGTGATTAACTGATTCATTTATATTATGAAAATCAAGAAAATTATTTCACTTGGTAAAATAAATTAATTGAATTATATTGTAAGAATTTTACATTTGGTCTTTAAAATATAGCACTGGTCTTAGAAAACAGTCTTCTAAATTGTCATTTCATATTTAAACAAAAAAGCAGCAAATATCTGAATTTTTAAAATTGTTATCCATTTCCATATTAGCATAGTCACTGATTGGTTTGGGATTCCTTTTCTTCCAATGCTGTGTTTATATACACAATGTTCATAATTATTCTTCCAAGTTACCTAGTAAAGGCAGTAACATAAAACTATCAAATTATACTACTAGTAATACTCTTGCTATCCCTACAATACCTCATGCTTTCAATGTCCCAAAACACTTATAAAAACCAATTTCCCAACACATACATTTTAAATTCAGCAATTCAAAATAAGCAACAATTATTTAGTAAAAAATAATGGAGCCTGGCCAGTGTTGCCAAATGGTTAGGCATTGGTCCATAAACCAAGAGGTCCCTGGTTCCATTTCCAGTCAGTCAGGCACATGCTCAGGTTGCGGACTCAATCCCCAATAAGGTCGTTCAGTAGGCATAAGATCAATGATTCTCTCTAATCTTTGATGTTTCTATCCCTTTCCTTCTCCCTTCCTCTCTCTAAAAATATCAATAAAAATGTATTTAAAAAACAATTAACACAAAAACTTGCTGGGCCAGAATGGCTCACTGATTGTCAACCTGTGAACCAGGGGATCACGTTTTGATACTCAGTCAGCGCACATGCCCAGACTGCACAATCGGTCCCCAGTAGGGAGCATGCAGAAGGCAGCCGATAAATGAATTCTCTCTGATATTTCTATCTCTTTTTCCATTCCTCTCTGAAATCAATAAAAATATTTTTTAATTAAAAAACAAAAATAAATGGAATACAATGGCTGACTTTTTATAACTTTTATACTAAAGTCTTTGACACTTTTAAGCAGACATATAAGATTAGAGGCCGGCTGCCCGAAGATTCATGCAATAGGCCTTCCTTCCCCTGGCTGCTGGCACCAGTTTTCCTCAGGCATCTGGGACCCAGGTCTTCACTCCGGACGAAGCCTTTAGTCTTTGCTCCAACAGGAGCACTGCTCCTGTAGCTCCCTCTGTCCCCCACCCTGCCCGACATAGCAGGTGCCCTGCCCACCCGGCCACTCCACGCCTGCATGCATGCTGCCCAGAGGCCCAGAGCAGCTGGGGGGAGGGGCCCCTGCCATCTTTGTCAGGTTAATTTGCATACTCACTTCTGTTGGCTGGTGGGTACCATGAAGTGACAGTCAATTTGCATATTTCTCTTTTATTAGTGTAGATTGTATGAAAATAAAATAATCTTAAAATGTTTACAAAATAAAGACTCTACCAATTCTTTTATGAAAAAGTGAAAACAATTATCAGTCTCGATATATTAAAAACCCTAGTTATAGTACTTATTTCACGGTAATCAACTATTTTTTTTTAATAATATTTTAAGCCTATTCTTACCTCAGACATTAGCCATTGTTTCTGCTTGAGTCCAATATCTAAATGTTGTGTTTCATCCAAAATTTCTTCTAAAGTTAGAGGATGTGTATCTCCTCGCTGATGACGCGTCTATTTGGGGGAGATAACATTGGAATTCTTCAATGCTAGATGCATTAAATAATAGTTACAAGTAAATAAATCATTTCAGCAATGTAGAACATGCATTATTTGAAGTAGGACAATTATAGTGATGAAAAAAATAGACTATAAAATCAGACAGAACCAGATTCAAACTCAGAGTCCTATAAAATCAAATGTTAAACAGAGAGAAAATATTTGCAACATCATCAAAGGAACTAATCTTCCTAATATTTTAAGGGTTCCAAAAATCTAACAGGAAAATAACCCAAAGAGAGGAACACATAAATCACAGAAAAAGAAAGCAATGACCTTAAATACAAAGATACTCAACCTATACCAAGAGATTTTTTTTACCTATTATGTTGGCAAAAATCCACGACTGATGATAAAGGCTGTAAGAAAATATACCCTTGCCGAAACCAGTTTGTCTCAGTGGAAAGAGCATTGGCCTGTGAACTGAAAGGTCCCAGGTTCGATTCTGGTAAAGGGGATGTGCCTGCAACCAAGGTACATACCCTTGACCGGAATCGAATCTGGGACCCTTCAGTCCGCAAGCCGACACTTTATCCACTGAGCCAAACTGGTTACGGCATATAAGGAGCTTTTTTGTTGCTACCTTTAAGTTCTTGGTTTTATAAGATCTTCAAAAAGACTTCACAAGGGACTGTTGAAAACTTTCCAAGAATCAATTAACAGATCACCTTTCACATGTATTTTTTCCTCTCTCAAAGAGGCCCTACCCTCATTCAAAAAAAGGGGTAAAACTTGCACTTCCACCCAAATTTATAATGCATTGCCAGGAGGTGTAATAAACTCTAGTGCCTCAAAAAAACACAAGTCAGAAAAATATTTGGGGAAAGCTTTTATAAAGATAACTGAGGTGTCACAGACTACCCACTATTATAGCTTCTTGTCCTTTTCAGCGTTACGTATTTTTCCAACAGTTCAAAATGGGATATTCTGGCCCCTAACAGGGCTTTCTAAATTCTGATACATTATAGTTCATGGGCAATTGAGAGCAATTTCATTTAAAGAACTCTGTCTCTTCTATCTCCACACATTCCACTTCCATGCTGTACTATCCAAGAAGGCATCACTCTTTGGAAGAATCTAATAAGAGCAAAGGGACCACTGGTAAGAAACATCTAATAAAACTCAATTGTTTCAAGTATTTAAATATGTCATTTTCCTCAGCAATTCCCAAAATTCACTCCTTGAATATTTATTAGCTTGAAGAAAAAGCACATTGAAAGAACTGAAACAGTATCAAGTAAGGAGGCTGATTCTTTTACATATAACAGAAGTATTTTCCAGGACTACCAAATTGTTCAAATTATCTCCATAAAACCCACAAAAACTGCATACAAATTATTTTAGATTAAGTGTGAATTATTCATTGTGAAAGTTTAAAACCTATTTTGTCAAATCCTATCATGAAATTTTTATTGTAATTAGATGTAATTCTCATTACATCTTCTAACCAGTTTAATATTCCTACCTCCTATTACAAAAGTAATAGCTAGCTTTAAGACCAATTCTTTTTTCTAATATTTTCATTGATTTTTTTTTTTTTTTTTTTTTTTAGAGGAAAAGGAGAAACATTGATGAGAGAGAAACATCCATTAGCTGCCTCCTGTACGCCCCCTTCTGGGGATTGAGCCCACAAGCTGGGCATGTGTCCTGACTGGAATCAAAACAGTGACCTCCTGGTGCATGGGATGAAGCCCAATCAACTAAGACACAACAGTCAAGGCCCAATTCATTTTTAACAATACTTATCCTTTTCCATTAAATATCCCAAAATAAAGTTATTAATATAGTTATTTCTGAATCACTACCTTTTATTTATATCTAAAAGCTGAATATCAGGGATTAGAAGATAAAGGCACACATTCACAAAAGCAGTAATACACCTTTTTCCATATCCCTTACTTCATAAGTATTTTATTATGTAATTTACTACAGGCCCTGTGCAGGAAATTCATGCATGTGGGTGTGGGGGGTATGGCCCTCAGCCAAGCCTGTACCCTCTCCAATCTGGGACCCCCTCAAGGGATGTCTGACTGACTGCCTTTGGGGATCCTGCCTAAATGGGCAGTCAGACATCCTTTCTCATAATCCAGGACTGCTGGCTCCCAACTGCTCGCCTGCCTGCCTGCCCGATTGCCCCTAACCACTTTTGCCTGCCAGCGTGATCACCCCCTAACCACTCCCTGCCACCTGATCGACACCTAACTCCTCCCCTGCAGGCCTGATTGCCCCTAACTGCCCTCCCCTGCCTGCACAGTCACCCCTAACTGCCCTCCCCTGCAGGCTTGGACCCCTGCAACTGTCCTCCCCTGCAGGCCTGGTCGCCCCCAACTGCCCTCCCTTGCAGTACTGGTCCCTCCCAACTGCCCTACCCTGCTGACCTATCGCCCACAACTGCCTTTCCCTGCTGGCCATCTTGTGGCAGCCATTTTGTGTCCACATGGGGGTGGCCATCTTGTGTGTTAGAATGATGTCAATTTGCATATTACCTCTTTGTTATATAGGATGATTCAATGTAACATGATAAACAGCCTATTTGTTCTTTAATTATAAAAATTGATATATTAATTCTATTTGATCTATATAATTTTCACCTCAATTACCTTAGTAATATCTTTTAGTATGCATTGTATAATTTATTTCTCAGTAGTTTTTATATTATTTAAAATGTATAGTGCCCAGCCAGTGTGTCTCAGTGGTTAAGCATCAACCTATGAACCAGGAGGTCATGGTTCGATTCCCAGGCTGGACACATACCTGCATTGTAGGCTCGGTCCCCAGAAGGAAGCAGGCAGGAGGCAGCCAATCAATGATTCTAGTTCATCATTGATGTTTCTCTCTCTCTCCCTCTCCCTTCCACTCTGAAATCAATTAAAACATATTTAAAATGTGTATTAACCTATTTATTTGAACTTAAAAGTAGGAGATATTTTATGATATAGCTGGTTGGTTTGACAATGGAGGCTAGCTTCGTTAATCGGGAAATACTTCCCATAAATCAAATAAGCTAAGCCTTCAGCCTGAGGGTTTTGACAAAAATGTATTTATATACATAAGATAAAAGCATTTTATGAAAAACCACATTGGCAAAGCTGTACTGAAATTAGTATTTTTATTTTCTCAACCACTTCTGATTGTAACAGATTACAGAGTACCTACAGGGTAAGAGGGAGAAATGATATAATGAGACACTTGCTAAGTCCTGGTAAAGCCTTTCTGATATACTCCTAGAAACTAAAGAAGTCAATGGTTAAGGACCAGATAACAAATCCCTTGGCAAGTTAGGCAGTTCACATCATTTTGTTTTCAGCAAAACTGAAGGAGGGCCTAACAGAACTATCAATTGATGGATGGTTGATGATAAATCACTAAGTGAATTTTGGCATATAACTTGCAAGATTTTGCTATCATAAAACTCCCATTAGAATATATGTTTATATACCCATTTATTTCTCAGCACTTAAACCTACAAAATCTAAAAATAAGAACAGAAATTGCTGCCAAATCCTGTTTCATTCTATCAATAATTAATTTCCCTTTCCCTCTCTCCCTCCCTCCCGCTCCTCACCCTCTCTCTCTCCAAATACAAGAATTACTAATAGAAGAAAAATAGCACCATGCATTTGATTAAAACAAAAATTTTTGTTGTTAACCCTCACCGGAGGATATTTTTTCCATTGCTTTTCAGAGAGACTGGAAGGGAGGGATGGAGGAATGGAGTAGGAGACATCGACAGTGATTGATTATCTCCCACAAGCAACCTGACTGGGGCTGGGGATTGAACCCGCAACCCAGGTTAAGTACCCTTAACCAGGAATCAAACACGCAACCCTTCAGTATGTGGGGCAACACGCTAACCACTGAGAACATTAACCAGGGCTCATTTCATTTTTTAAAAATGTATTTCTATTGAATTATTATTACAAAGTAAATTTTAATCAAAATTTTTATATAAGGCATCCTAATCAACTGTGTGCTAATAATTATGATACCTCAAACCAACGTATTTTTAATACCTAGAGCATTATAGTCACAAGGAAAAATTTCTAATCCTATCCTAATAAGGAGGGAATATGCAAATTGACCATCACACTATAACAAAATGGCTGTGCCCATAGCAGAGACAGGGATCCCATAACAAAAGATGGCTGTGCCCACAGTGGAGGCCGAGTTCCCATAATCTCAGGAACCTGAGATTGCATGGCACTGGGCCAGGGCAGGGGACCTGAGTCTGCGTCCCCCGCCTGGTGGGGCTTGACAGGGGAACTCAGGTTGTGCCCCCTGCTCAGCAAGGTTTGACAGGGGCCTCACGCAGTGTGTGATGGGCCAGGAGACCTGAGGCTGCATCCCCCACCCAGCAGGCCTTGACAGGGGTGGGGCCAGCCAGGTCTGGATCTAGCCCAATGGGGGTGGGGATAGTCATACGATTTAGAGGCACACATGGGTGGGTGGGGACTTGACTCGTTTCCGTGGTGTGCCCCAGACTCTGTCAGAAGGAAAATTTTCATATACGTTTTACTAATTTTCTTTCATCACTGACACTTTTATTATAGAGAAAGGGGAAATAACAATATTAAAATATTTCCTCTAATTAATTCCCTTCTAATGTGGACAACTTTCATGCACCAGGTCACTAACCTATATATATGAAACCTTAACATGCAAATAGACCGAACACCCAGTCACTATGATGTGCACTGACCACTAGGGGGTGTACATGGAACATGGCAGGCATTGGTAAGCAGGCAGCAGGGCACAGAACATGGCAAGCATCAGCCATAGTGGGATGGTGGAGCAGGTAAGCAGGGGCACCAGACCAAGGCGGGGCGCCGGTTGCTGTCACTGCAGTGAGCCTCTGGTGGTTACTGAAAATTCTTTGCTCCTGCATACCGCACTCCTGCCCAGCACTTGCACCTACTGCTGGTGCCTGGCGCTGGCTCTGATGTTAGGCGCCATCAGTGGGTGTGAGTGGCAGCTGCCAGCCCCGATCACCCCTGAGGGCTTCTCCACTTCCCTCTGCTCCTGAGGGCAATCTGGGAAGCAGCTGCCACTCACAACTGATGGTGCCAGCCCAATCGCTCCACACGGTCAGCAGGTGCGAGCAGGGCCGGGGCTGTCAGCCATGGGAGCAGCGGGAGTGGGCCTGCTGGCAGACAGGGGACCAGGGGCCACAGCAGGAAGGGGCGCAAAGGATGGGCCAACACCTGCCCCTGTGCCCACCGCAGCCTCGGCCCACAGTTCAAGGTGCCCAAATTCATGCACTGTGCCCCTAGTTCGTGTGTGTATTGTGTGTGTGTGTGTGTGTGTGTGTGTACATATATGTAAATAATTGTGGCAAAGAAGTTTGACTGATATTCAATAGAAGATTTTCAAGCATAAAAATACCTAACATTAGCATATAGTATAGAGGGAGTAACAGGATGGACAAGTAAGTTCAAGGGGAAAATAAAATTCCAACCATTGAGTTTTGTTTTAATTTTAATTTTTTTAATGTTTTTATTGACTTGAGAGAGAGAGAAGCATCAACCAACTGCCTCCTGCATGCCCCCTAATGGCAATTGAGCCCCAAACCTGGACATGTACCCTGTCTGGGAATTGAGGTCTTAAGCTCTGGTGCCTGGAACAATGCTCAACCAACTGAGCCACACTCATCAGGGCTTCGTTTTTTCTTTTTAAATTAATGATGGCATTTAGATTTTGTTAAATATAAAAAAGAGTGCTTTATTTCATTAAAATATTACAATATGCCAGAAGTTTTATCCTTTGCCATTTTTGCTGAAAACCTGTAGTTATCAATTTAAATATGTACAAAGGAATACACAACTTTTCAAAATTGTTTTAGGGAACAGAAGTAAAAATTTGAACACTGTCCTAGATTAAAAAAAATTACAGTAAGAGTCATCTATGTAAGTGAAGACTATTAGGCAAAAGAGCAAAAACATGACATTTAAATGTCAATCTCCCTCAAAACACTGACAGCCACAAGGACATACATTTTTCCCTCGGTATTCCCAATTTTAGTGCTGCAAACAGTATATTGTTTATCTGGTGGGGTAATAGATGGCTCAAATTAATAGTGAAAGATAAGTGTCAATGTATAGTATTTGATAATGGGAAATTATAAACCAGATTTCTACTAGAAATTAAATGGACATAGGCAGAGGCAGACACTAAGACTTTTAAATTATGAAAATTTCAGCATAAAATCTTGATTTTTATTTTTTAAATGATACCTAAAATTAGAAATAATTATAAATACAGAACTTTGATTCTTTTCAAGTGACACAACTACTAATTAAATGGGAATAAGAGTTTGCCAAATGAAGGGTATAAATTTGAAATCAAGTAACCATCCTAGTTATAAAATAAATTTTGCTTTAATAAGTTAGGATTCAGTCTTTAGTAAGCCAAAATGTTATAATTATTAAAACTTTTTTCAATAAATACTAAATCTTCCATCAAACATTAAATTCAAATTATTTTATGAATTAATGTTTTTCTAAGACCCTCAGTAATTCTCCAATTTTCTCCTCCAAGATGTAGAAAATCCATCACCACCACCTGCCTGAACTATGTACTTTCTACTTCTCACATCAATGGAAGTAATATTCTCTTCTTAGGGGTTTTGCAAATAGGTACTGTCTTATCCTTGAATGTAAATTAAATATACTTAGGTGACTCACTGCAATGTCAATCTTCTATAATAATAAAGAAGTAATATACTAATTAGACTGGACAGCCAAATGACCTTCCAGACATCCTTCTGAACAAAGCCATGGTGGTGGTGGCTGAGCACAGGTGGTTAGGGGCAATCAGGCAGGCAGGTAAGTGGTTAAGGGCGATCAGACAGGTAGGCAAGTAGTTAGAGGTGATCACACAGGGAGACAGAGGAGTGAGGCCGTGAGGGAGGCAGGCAGACAGGCAGAGTGGTTAGGGGTGATCAGGCAGGCAGGCAGGCAGGCAAGCAGTCCCGGATTGTGAGAGGGATGTCCTACTGGATCGGGCCTAAACCAGCAATCAGACATACCCCAAGGGGTTCCCAGATAGCAAGAGGGTGCAGGCTGGGCTGAGGGACATCCCCTATCCTGTGCATGAATTTCATGCACCAAACCTCTAGTTAAATATAAAAGGCTTAAAACATTATTTTTTGTTTTAGAGATATAATAGGCATAAAATAAACTACATATATGAAAATATACAATTTTTTTAAATGTGACATACATAAATTTACATGTGAAAATCCCAATCCCCTTTTGCCCAAAGGTTAAATAGGATTTTTGTTACCTGAAAGAAGTACTTACTTTCATATAATTCACTATCTTAGCAAGAACACCAAACTTATATCCAGAGCTTCCTGAAAGAGCTTTCAAGTTAAATGATCCATTGCTATGATCTGAAAACAAAGTTCAAAAAACATAAAATTTTCATATTAGATGTGATTATGACTTGTAAGCAGCTAAGATGACTTTTACTCAGATAAAGATTTTTCCTGTTTGAGATTTTTCTATCCAGTGAATTCTAAAACGGTAAAAAGTTAAAATCCTTGAGTGTATAATTAACTACCCATTGTCTCACTAAGGAAGGGAACAAAGTATACATAGTAATTCAAAAGCATTAAAATACATTTCTTTTGTAAGTAACTTTATCTCACTCTTTCCTTAATTCTGACTAGATTTCCCTCCATAAACAGAAGACTTTTTAAACAAAACACAATACAGATCTCATCTCATCATTTTTCTTTTTAAAAAATTTTTAATCCTCACCAGAGGATTTTCCCCCCAATAGTTTTTAGAGAGAGTGGAAGGGAGAGAAGAGAGAGAGAAACATCGATGTGAGACACACACGTAGATTGGTTGTCTCCCCCATGCACTCCAACCAGGGTGGGGATCTGAACCTACAACTCAGGTATGTGCCTTCTTCTTTTTTTTAATCTTCACCCAAGGATATTTTTTTCCCATTGATCTTTTAGAGAGTGGAGGAAGGAGGAAGGAGGTGGAAGAGAAAGAGAAACATTGATGTGAGAGAGACACAACAACTGGTTGCCTTCCAAACCTGCCCCGACCAGGACTAGGGATTGAACCTGAAACTAAGGTACAAGCCCTTGGACAGAAATCAAACCCAAGACCCTTCAGTTCTCAGGATGACAATCTAACCACTGAGCAACCAGCCATAGCCAGGTAATTGTCTTCGATCTGGAATACAACCAAGACCCTTCAGTGTGACGACCTAACACTCTAACCACACTGGCCATAGTGCTTTTCTAATAAATTTAAAACCATGAGAAGTAAGTGGTTACTTCTGGGGATAAAGAGTTCAATATGTCACTTATGACATCAATTCCTGCTTATAAAGTTAAAACAAATGGGCATTAATAGAATAAAAAGAATGATACCATAATTATTTTAAAGTAAACTTGAGAGATAAGTTAGGAATAAGAACTGGTAAGTACTGACACTTCATAAACATGGATGCCTAGAATGATAGCATGAAATGAGGGGCAATGTGTATAGAGGACTATTTGTTTCAGAACATCTATCATTTTGTTGCATTCTTACAGGCACAAATCTAATGCCACCTTGCAACACAAATGCATTCCTTTAGTCACAAGCAAGAACCAGTAAAAAAAATTCGTCATAAATACTAAACCCCCCCCCCCCCCCATACACATTTCAGAAGTATACTTTAGTATAGCATCGGGTCAGAAATTATGAAGTTCCCATGTGGCTGATACATAAGAGCAGAGGTTAAATAAAATGGGAGAGAGTCAATGTCTGGTACCAGCTTGATAATAATAATTTAAACAAAAGAATGCATTAGAACAACAAGTCAAATGTAACAATTGTCAGAGGTCCAAAAGAACGGTTTCTAGATGGCAATACTCCTTTGAGATTAGTTAAAAGGCTTTATTGAATATGCTTTCATGACTCTAAAATGAGACTTCATATGCAATTTTCATCTAAAAATAACAGTTACAATTTTGGTAGTTTATTTGACACATTAAAGTCTACTTTACTAATGTTTCCCAAAATATCAATAGTAAGAATGAGAATGCAATATAAGTGTACTTTCCCACTCATTTTTCCAATTATGAAATACTACCTACCTACATTGTTCACTTTTCAGATGTCCAGGACCCTTATAACAATAGTAGTAACTAAGCTTTATTGAACATTTACTATTTGCCAAAAACCCTGCTAAATGATTTTTTCATTTATTCCCTCCCCAAAGTCATAGTTATAATAGAAGATACTATTGTCCACTTTTAAACACCACCACAAAAAAAAAACAAAAAAAAAACAGAATAGTAAGTGGCAGGATATATATTCAAATCCAGGGATAAACCCTGTGATTAAATCATTAACTAACCTTTTACACAGATTATGCCATCAGAAATTGGCTATTTTGTCAGAGTATGAAAATTCATAAATGTACATCTAATGTTTTCTTGCTTAACTTTAGTAAAGTAATATAAAGTTTATCCTGTATAAACAGCTACCTGGGAAGACAAAAAAAATGAAGAGTATGTTAAGATTAAGCACTAAAAGGTCAATCATTATCCACATAGTTTTGTTTACCAGAGGGTCCCCAGCATTTAACTCATTACTAGCCAGAGTAAACAATAAATGATGCCCTAGCCAGTTTGGCTCAGTGGATAGAGCACTGGCCTTTGGATTAAAGGGTTCCAGGTTCTATTCCGGTCTAGGGACCGTACCTCAGTTGCAGACTCCTTCCTGGCCTAGGATCTGGTTGGGGACCCATGCAAGAAATAACCAAGTGTTTCTCTTACATCGATATTTCTCTCATCTTTCCCTCTCCAACTCTCTCTAAAAATCAATGGAAAAACATCCTCAGGTGTAAAACAAACAAACAAAATTTATACTTCTGAAATGTTGGGGGAGTTGTTTTTTTTTAGTATTTTATGGCCTCAGAATGTGATTTACCTATAATTAAAATAAGTCTATATAGCAAGCATTTACATAGCCTACTATTGTTCTAATAGTCACCCCCGTAATTAAAAACTTTGATTCTGTTATGCTTAGACCACAACTTTAAATAATACACCATAAATAAAAACATTCTATTTCAAACACCCAAATGAGAGTTCTTTTGTCATTTAAATTCACAGGCTGCCCTGGCCGTGGCTTGGTTGTTTGGAGCATGGTCCCAAACGCCAGAAGGTGCCAGGTTAAATTCCTGAACAGGGCAATACTCAAGGTTTCAGGTTTGATCCCTGATTTAGAGCACATATGGGAGGCAACCCATTGATGCGCCTCTCTCAGATCATTGTTTCTCTCTCTTTCTCTCCCCTCCCCCTCTAAAAATCAATTTTTAAAAAATATATTTTATTGATTTTTTACAGAGAGGAAGGGAGAGGGATAGAAAGCCAGAAACATCGATCAGCTGCCTCCTGCACACCCCACACCGGGTATGTGCCCACAACCAAGGTACATGCCCTTGACCAGAATCGAACCCGGGACCCTTCAGTCTGCAGGCCGACGCTCTATCCAACTGAGCCAAACCGGTTTCGGCAAAAATCAATTTAAAAATAAAAGACACATCATTGGGTGAGGATTTAAAAAACTGAATAAACTTCACAGACTGCCTTTTTAATGTGGGAGGTATACCTATCCTCTCCCAACTAGTAAAGCCAAAAACCTTATTTCTCTCAGAATTTTTCCTCTACCAAACCACCACATGCAAGTAATAAAACACAGTAATGAAAGAAAAAAATATACAATTTATAAAATTATATTCACACTTCCTGGAGAAAATATAAAGCTGATAATCCTGGGCTGTTTGTGTCCCAGGTTACTACCTCTCTAGACATTATCTTCTAGCCCCAGCACCAAAATATTCACTGAAGGATCCGAAATATTACAGTTAAACAATGAGGAAACATCAATTTATTGCTAACTTACAAATTCCTATCCAGGAATTTAGCTGAAGGACAAAAAATAAGGCAAGAAAAGGGGTGACAGCTGATATCCCAGACAGCTTTATTCACATTTATGAATGATTTACTCATAAGGGTGGCAGGACTTAATGCAAATGAATGTAGAGGAAACTGTCAGCTGCCCTGTGGTTCAACCAATAGAAGCACAGCTCCATCTTGGCTGTGCACTAGACTGCATTACAAACAGACTGTACCATCGATACCATCGCTTCAACAGCGGCCCTTCAGACAAGAGGTAGGTTTATATAATTTTTTTCATTAATATATATATGTCCTTATGATGCAGTATAAAAATATTTCACCATAAAAATCAAGCAGAAAGCTTTGTTTCTCCTAAAAACCAAAATAAGCAATGTATTCATTTCATTGCTTGGCAGGATTTTATTATGGAAACATAAAGACTGCCTGTGCTATTTGAGAGCACCCTTACCATCTGTGCCTTAATGGAAAATTCATGACATTGTCTTTAACCGGATCTATATCCAGACCTCAGAGTAAACCATAAGCATTTGATTTTAAATGGTTACTTGCTAATTTTATTTTCTCTGAACTATTTCATTTCAGCAGTTTGCTCTGCCTTAAACAAAGGATTTTTCTTAAAGAAACCTCTAGACTAAAAGTGAATCTTGGATTAAAGCTTTCTGATTATATATGTGCAAATCATATTAGCTAGTAAAAAGCAGTTGCTTACAAGTTTGATATATTTTAACAAATATGAGAAAATAGTTCAAATTTGTTTTTTATTTGATTTTGTGAATCTACAAAATATCATAACTGTGACCTTTATATAAAAATAAAAAGACCGTAAAGATACCATTATGTAGGCTGCATTATACTATAACCAAAGACACAATTTCTAGAGCTTCCGACTTTCCTAACATTTTAATTCCCTTACATAAGTAAAATCTTAAAGTCCATATTACTGCAATGTTCAAGTCATGCTATTTTTAAATGAAAATCTTTTTGAAATAGCCTTTCATTTTTGCATATGCCACAAAAAGATAACACAGTAACTTCAATGTTAAAGATATTCTCAAATTGACCCTCACAATAAATATGGGGTCTTATTAATTTATTGCATTTAGAAATAAAAATATGTCCTAAATAAAATAAAAATATGGTAGGATAGTACAATACCTTTCAAGGTACTAAAATTACTTGCATGGCTCAGATCAACCATACATGTCTACTAAAAATCAGTAGCAACTGCTGACCAAATTTCTAATTTTATAATATTCAAGCATGAAAACATCATTATTTAGTAGATGCTAGAGTTCAAAGATATTACCTATAAATGTTGACCTAAAGATCCAACTTCTGCACTTTTCTTTGCTGGTAAATCTATTTAAAGAATTTTTTTTTCATAGTTTTTATTTGTTTTATTTCTTAGCTGCATATAGCTAATATAAGTGTCCCTTACAAAGACCAAAGGTTGCTATAAGAAGATATGAGGTCTCTCCAGGTTTAGCACAATGGGGTTCATTACATAGAAAACATTCCTGTTTACCATACAAAGTATGGGTACCCAAAAAGAGTCTCAGATAAAATAAAAACTACTTTTCAAAAAAAAGTTAACTTGTTACTCAAATTTCAGATAAATTGTAAACCAAAACCCCTACCACCTACATTTCCCTGGTACCACATAACACATCTCTAGTTAGCACAGGTGGAGGCTCATTGCTGTTTCACTGAACTGACGAGAGGCACGGCCTGTCTCAGAGTTCCAGAGCTAAATGCATTGCTCTATATGTAAAGGCCATATTATTTTTTATTCCCCTCGTGCCCCCTCCAATTATTATTAATTGATCATACTTCAAAGTAACATGCTTAAAAGGCACTAAAAAATTCAATTCAATACCATAAATACAGCAAAAGCATAAATTTATTCTGATTTGGCAATTCAAGATTTCAAAACAGTTGCCATAAATTATTTCATTAGAACCATTTGAAACTGGAGGAAAACTAGGTGAAGTTAATTGTTTCAAAAATAATAAACTAAGTAAGTATATGGTATTTACTTTAACACTTCCCCATTCCTGTAATGAAATTTTACTTTATTGTTTTAATATATTTTTACTGATTTCTGAGAGGAAGAGAGAGGGAGAGACAAACATCAATGATGAAAGAGAATCATGATCGGATGCCCCCTGCACGCCCCCATACTGGGGATTAAGCCCACAACCAGGCATGTACTCTTGACCAATATCAAACCTGGGACCCTTCAGTCCACAGGCCTATGTTCTACCCACTGAACCAAACAAGCTGTAATAAAATTTTAAAGGGGCTAAAGCGGATGCAAAACATAAACCTGACATGTACACACTCTTTCTTAAACTGCTAGGTGCTTCCAGCAAAGCTTACATGCCCTGGGAGATGGCATACACTGCTCTCCATTGTGTTATTACTAGCATTATGATAAGCACAACTATACGAATAAGGTATGCAGTCTAATCAAAACGAGTGTTTGCCCTAGATGGTTTGGCTCAATGGATAGATCATCAGCCTGTGGACAGAAGGGTCCTGGGTTCGATTCTAGTCAAGGGCACGTACCTCAATTGCGGGCTCCTCCCCAGCCTGGGCTTTGGTCAGGACTGGAGCAGGAGGCAAGCAATCGATGTGTTTCTCTCACATCGATGTTTCTCTCTGTCTTTCCATCTTTCTTCTACTCTCTCTAAAATCAATGGGGAAATATCCTTGTGTGAGGATTAAAAAAAAAAAATGAGTGTCTGATAATCCTAATTTTTTAAAATCCAGAAATCTCAATAAATATAATAAGATATAGAACAAAGTAGATTTTTAAAAAAATATATTTTATTGATTTTTCACAGAGAGGAAGAGAGAAATAGAGTTAGAAACATCGATGAGAGAGAATCATCGATCAGCTGCCTCTTGCACACCCCCTATTGGGGATGTGCCGCAACCAAGGTAGTACATGCCCTTGTCCGGAATCGAACCCGGGACCTTTCAGTCCGCAGGCCGACGCTCTATCCACTGAGCCAAACCGGTCCCGGCCAAAGTAGATTTTTAAAAGTCAAAGGCAAGGAATACTTTTAAAATATATTTATTTGGGTTTTGAATCAGTAATATAGTCAAACGGTTCAAAAACTAAAAGAATGTCCAGTTGGTGTGGCTCAGTGGTTGAGTAGTATGAACCAAGAGCACAGTTCAACTCCCAGTGAAGGCACATGCCCAGGTTGCAGACTTGATCCCCAGTGTGGGGCATGCAGGAGGCTGTCAATCAATGATTCTCTCTCATCACTGATGTTTCTCTCTCTCACACACTCTCTGAAATCAATCAAAATATATATTTTAAAAACTAAAAGAATGTAACAAGGTATACCTTGAGAAATCTCACACACAGCCCTGTCCCCCAAAACTACTGTCCATCTAAGCCCACAAGTAATCACTGTTTGTATATTCAAGATTTTTGTGCAGATACAAGCAAATAAAAATATATTTCCCCCTTTCCTATGCATGCTGTACTGTACCTTGCTCTTTTCACTTAACAACATATCCTAAAAATCTTTCCTTATCTCCACACAATTACCTCATTCATGAATAATATTCAATTGGGTGGATATATCCTATATTAATTTTAACTATAATAGTTCATTAATTGGTACAATTTAACTTCAAATAATTAAATTTAGTTGTGTATCTGTCTGCCTACCTGCCCCTATTTTCTCTCCTCCCCTTTTCCCACTCTCCCTCACTATATATACTTTTTAAATATATTTTATTGATTTTTCACAGAGAGGAAGAGAGAGGGATAGAGAGTTAGAAATATCAATGAGAATCATCGATCAGCTGCCTCTTGCACACCCCTTACTGGGGATGTGCCCGCAATCAAGGTACATGCCCTTGACCCGAATCGAACCTGGGATCTTTCAGTCCACAGGCCATTGCTCTATTCACTGAGCCAAACCAGTTTCAGCATCCCTCACTCTATTTATTTACGGGAGAAAGAACCTGAAAAAAATTTAAGTAATTCATTTATACCTCAAAAATAAATAGAGTATGAAGCTCCTTAAACCAAATTTCTAATCATTTTTAAATCTCATTTTGAAATAACTTACATTAGTCTTTACAAATTCTCCTGTTTTAAAGTCAAAACAAATTTTAAAAAGGCCTACTCATAATTAATTAAAATACAAAGTAATAATTTCAACCAGATATTGGTTATTTATATAACCAACTTCTAGGAGAAAAGAAAAAAAATAAAAGTTTGATATATTCGGGAGAAAGGATTCTGGGTAAAAATTTCAGATTTTTTTTTTAATTGCTATGCTATTTCTGAAATCAATAGCATAGTAACACTTTAAATTAACACAGTCAATGAATAAGGTAGATTAAACTAATTTGAGGTGCATAACGTGGAAATTGTTTCACTCTACTTTCTCTTCCCTCCTTATCATTGTTTAGAAGAAAACCCCTCAAAAAAAAATTTTCCCCCCCGAGATTAAAAAGGAATCAACCTGAAAGGCCTTAACCAAAAATCTAAGAAACACTTTCATCAATACTGGAAAGATCCTAGATTGGTTAGCACAAGTAAAATTATTAGATTGACCCTTATGCAATTTTTCCTATTCTAACTACCCATATAATGATAAGTGGCACGAGGACCTATTATTCTTCCTTTCCCTCTCCTCTATTTGCTCTGCTTTTCAAAAAGGGCCTGAAACTCATTCATACTGAAGTAAAAATAACTAACAATGTGTGTTACCCCTCCCAGGAATATCTGCATTTTAGTAGTGCTAAAAATCTTAAAGAAAGCTGAACTTTTTTAGGGGTGTGTGTGTCATGAAAGACTGGATCAGAAAAGACTTAACTTTGTTTCCCTTTGAGTCTGTTTCTGTGGGTTACTTGACTGTGTGCATGATGATTAGAATCAGAGGCAGCAATAATGCAGAGGTTAGAGAGGTAGCCTATCAGGAAGTCTACATTATATAACTCTATGTGAATGGCACCCCACAATGCAATATGAATGGTGCTCCTTGGGGCTGTCAACATTGCAACCCTGCTTTCTTTAAGAACATGCTCTGGCCCTGACTGTCAACATTGCAACCCTGCTTTCTTTAAGAACATGCTCTGGCCCTGACTGGTATGGCTCAGTTGGTTGAGCGTTTTTCCATGCACTAAAAGGTCACTGGTTCGATTCCCAGTCAGGGATCCCCAGGTTTCGGGTTTGATTCTCAGTTGGGGTGCATGTGGAAGACAATCAATCGATGTCTCTCTCTCTCACTTTGTTTTTCTTTCTCTCAAATCAATAAACATATTAAATAAATTTTTAAAGAAGAAAACATGCTCAGAAGAAAAAAAAAAATTCAAAGGCTAGAAGAGGGTAACTTTGAACGGCTAGATCTCCAGATATAGTTTGAAAATAATGTAATACATACTGGAATATAGACAATGTATTTTTGTATGTCCCAGAACTAATAGAAGCAATTGATTCAATTATGTACATTAGTCTGTTATCCTTCAATTCAAGATAAAGGGTCCCAAGCATCATAAAACTGAAGAATTCTTGCCCAGACAGCACAGCTCAGTGGTTGAGAGTCGACCTATGAACCAGGAGGTCACAGTTCGATTCCCGGTCAGAGCACATGCCCGGATTGAGGGTTTGATCCGCCGGTGTGGGGCATACAGGAGGCAGCCAGATCAAAAGTTCTCTCTCCTCGATATTTCTCTCTCATTCTCACTCTCCCTTCCTCTCTGAAGTCAACCAAGTATATTTTACAAAAAGCAAAAAATACTGAAGAACTCTTAAATCCAAAATTGAAGCCTTTACTTTTGGCCTCAGTTCATCAACTTAACCTTCAAAACACACAAAAGAAGGAACCAAGCCCATCCAGAGAGGTGAAGGGATTTGCCAAGCAAATCTGACTTAAGAAAACAAGAAGCTTAGAAGATAGCAATTTATCAATCCAAAGTTTTAAAAGTGTATCTATAAAGAAAACAAAGAAATTTAAAGGAATTATATTGTTCCTAGTGCCCCAGTGCCCGGGTTCATGCACATTGAAAGTAATTAGAAAGTGGCCAGTGGAGCAGGACTGGACTGGGTGAGATGGGCCGGACACACCTAGAGCCAACCTCCTGTGGTTCCTTCTCGGCCAGCCCCTTCTCAGCTAGCCGCACCTGAGGTGGCGCCGCATCACAAAGGGCTAGGGAGTGAGCAGGGCCCCTCTGCAGGGTGCGGCCCTCGGCCTGGCCTGCAGGGAGCAGGCCGAAACCGCCTCTCCAACATCCCCCAAAGGGTCCCAGGTTGTTAAGAGGATAATTCTCGGGTGACGCACCCCAGAATCGGACTCCCTCCTCTCTGGTTCCAGGGTGTGTCACCCGAGAACCGCCACTGCCACGTCACTGCAGCTCGGCACCTCCGCTTCGAGCATCTGCCCCCTGGTGGTCATTGCGCATTATGGCTACCGGTGGGACAGTCACTGAGCCTTTGTATGTATAGACTAGAGGCTTGGTGCATGAAATTTGTGTGTGGGTACAGTCCCTAGGCCTGGCCTGTAATCAGGGCCATCTTCCCCAACTGCTGGCAGCTGGCCCCACCACCTCCCCCCCATCTACCCCCATTTTCCCATCAGGCAATCGGAGCCTGCCAGCCAGGGAAAGGGACCCAGAGGAGGTGAGTGCACCCCATAGCGACTGGACCAGCCATCATTCTGGTCATTCTGTCGTTAGGGTCAATTTGCATATTAGCCTTTTATTACAGGACGGTTTTAGGTTTTAAGTCACTTTTTAATCTTTAACACTCTCAAATCAGGGCAGCAAGTCTCAGGTCAACAAGAGCAAACGTTAATGTAAGAATACTGAAACTTGAACTCAATACCTAATTTTGTGAAATGGAATAATTCAATAAATGGTAACTTTGGGGCATTGAATTTGCCTGTTTTTAAAAATATATCTATAGGTCATTTAGGCACATGAAACATTTAGACACAAAAAAAACCCGAAGATTTTAATTTCTTCAGAGGCAACTTAATTTGACTTATCTTTTTCTACTATTTTTCACTCTGCCACTATTTCCTGATTCAAGTCCATGTTCTATGGGGACATAGGAGCCAAAAATACAGAGAACTGAGAAGGTGAGAGGATTCACAAGGACATTTTGAAGAACATAACCTTAAAATGCAAATTCCTGACCACTTTTTTAGTCAAACTTTAAACCAATTCTGTTGCCTTTTTTCCCTTCCATTACCAGTTAATTTCTGTGTGTGAATATTAAATATACATACTTGTTTAATAAATAATATACACAGAGATATACTGTATAGTACGGTTTAGAGACTACACTGGCATTGATATAGAAAAAATTAGCCCAGCCATTGTGGCTCAGGGGTTGAGTGTTGAACCAGGAAGTCACAGTAGAATTGCTAATAAGACACATTCCCAGGTTTTAGGCTCGATCCCCATTAGGGGATGTGCAGGTGACAACCTATCAATGATTCTCTCTCATCATTAATGTATCTATCCCTCTCTCCTTCTTCCTTCTCTATAAAATCAATAAAAGCACATTTTAAAAAATGTGCTTTTAAATTTATTTATTAAATTAATATGATTCAGGCATTAATTCTGGCAGAAAAGGAACACTCAAATTGCCTATATAAATTTATTAACAAATCTTAGCACTGAGATTTGGATTGATAAATCCGTAGAGTCTGGTTACATATATTCGTTTTCTATCTTTTTATAGATTCAAAAGAATACAAGAAGTGGAATCCTAAGAATGGCCTCCCTGAGCTCCAGCCTATGGAATGAAACCACTACATCTGTTTATCAGTACCTTGGTTTTCAAGTTCAAAAAATTTACCCATTCCATGATAACTGGAACACTGCCTGCTTTGTCATTCTGCTTTTATTTATATTTACAGTGGTATCTTTAGTTGTGCTGGCTTTCCTGTATGAAGTGCTTAACTGCTGCTGCTGTGTAAAAAACAAAACAGTGAAAGACTTGAAAAGTGAACCTAACCCTCTTAGAAGCATGATGGACAACATCAGAAAACGTGAAACTGAAGTGGTCTAGCACTCTACATAAGATGAGCAAAATCTCTGAAAACAGCCTTCAACTTCGGAGAAAGAAACTTTCTGAGACCAACTGTTATTATAAAATTGACTTTATAAGGGAAAGACAAGTTAACTATGTACGGTGTATGAATCCCTTTCATTAAACATACAGTAAAACTTTATAAATGTGAATAATTTACCATTCTCTTTAAAATGACACTTTAAAAACTAGATAAAAGATTCCTAGAATTCAATATTAAGCAGCAAAAGGGAAACGGGAAAATATAAGCCAGGCTAATGATGCCAAAGCAACTTATACCTAAACAAATGATGTGGACTAACAAAAAGAGTAGTACTATGCCCTGACCAGTGTGGCTCGGTTGTTTGCAGTGTCTCCCCATGTACCAAAGGGTCACATGGGTTTGACTCCTGGTCAGGGCACATACCCAGGTTGTAGGTTTGATCCCAGATCGGGGTGACAAGAGGCAACTGAACAGTGTTTCTGTTTCCTTCCCTCCCTTTCCCCCTCCCTTCTTCTCTCCCTTCCTCCTCCCTTCCCTCCCTCCCCTCTCTAAAAATCAATTTAAAAAATAGAGGGGAGCCGAAACTGATTTGGCTCAATGGATAGAGCATCAGCCTGTGGACTGAAGGTCCCAGGTTCGATTCTTGTCAGGGGCATGTACCTTGGTTGTGGGCACATCCTCAGTAGGAGGTGTGCAGGAGGCAGCTGATCGATGTTTCTCTCTCATTGATGTTTCTCTCTCATTGATGTCTCTCTCTCATTGATGTTTCTAAGTCTCTATCCATCTCCCTTCCTTTCTATAAAAAAATCAATAAAATACATATTTTTTAAAATGGAGGGGAGCAATGGAGAAAAAAGAGGGACATCATATCCTATATAACGCTAAATAATAAAAGCATAACATGCAAATCAACCGAATAATCGAAAAGCAGGACGACCATCCAGGACCAGGCTATGACACTCACTGGCACCAGGCAAGCCAAGTGGTGCGATACAATTGGTGGGGCCTCTCTCTGCTAGGGAAGCCTGGGTCCGGGTCGGCAGCCAGAGGGAAACCTAGGTCCCGGGTGCCAGAGGAAAGCCAGTGCCAGGAGCCAGGGAAAGGAAGGCCTCCTCTTGCAAGAATTTCATGCAACGGGCCTCTAGTCTGTAATAATCTCAACAATAAAGATTTTTTTTTATTTTTTTTAAATATATTTTATTGATTTTGTACAGAGAGGAAGGGAGAGAGATAGAGAATTAGAAACATCGATGAGAGAGAGTCATTGATCAGCTGCCTCTTGCACACCCCCCACCGGAGATATGCCCCCAACCAAGGTACATGCCCTTGACCGGAATCGAACCCGGGTCCCTTCAGTCCCCAAGCTGACGCTCTATCCATTGAGCCAAACCGGTTTCGGCTCAACAATAAAGATTTTTTAAAAATATATTTTATTGATTTTTTAGAGAGAGGAAGGGAGGAGGGATAGAGAGTTAGAAACGTTGACCAGAGAGAAATATCGATCAGCTGCCTTCTGCACACCCCCTACTGGGTATGTGCTTGCAACCAAGGTCCATGCCCTTGACCAGAATCAAACCTGGGACCTTGAGTCCACAGGCCGAAGCTCTATCCACTGAGCCAAACCAGTTAGGGCAAGATTTTATTTTTTAAAGAGTACTACATCTACATGTATTTTGGTAATAAAAATACTTCCACTTATATTAAAGTCTCTACTTATTAAAAAGCAGTATTTCCTAGTTTATTGAAGACAACTTACACATTTTAAAAGACTTCATTTTTTATGTAGGATTACTGTAACAAAAATCTCAAAATACTCAGAAAGGTCCCAAGTATACTTGCATAAAAATTTTATTAAATGAATTAACTGTTGCCCAGCAGGGGCTTAGTGGAACTAAGGAACTCAGGAACTAAGAGGTTACTGGTTCAATTCCCAGTGGGGACACATGCCTGGGTTGCAGGTCAATCCCAGTAGGTGTGTAGAAAGCAGCCGATTAATGATGTTTCTATTTTTCTATCCTTCTCCCTTCCTCTTTCTAAAAATAAATAAATACTTTTTCTTTTTTTTTTTTTAACATGAACTAACTGCTGAAATGCAAGGTCTAAGAAGGCTCATGTTATCTTCAAGCTAAGATTTACTATACTACACCCCCTAAACGGCATTTCTTGAGCTTGTGCTTTCAGTTTGCTTCTCATGTTTGCACTCTCAGGGGCTAAGATACCCAATGTAGAAAAAACTATAAAATAAAAGTCAAAAGATAGGATCACTCAACACCTGTTAAGAAATATGGCAGTTTTATTTCTTGAAATTCCACTGACTATACAGATATTATATTTTAGCAGAGGCCCAGTGCATCGTCCCTCGGCCTGGCCTGCACCCTCTCGCAATCCAGGACCCCTCAGGGGATGTCGGGCTGCAGTTTCAGACCCCACTGGTGCACGATCAGGGCCTAGGAGGAACCGCAGGAGGGCTCCAGGGCATGTCCAGCCCATCTTACCCAGTCCCCATCGGCCAGACCCCAGCAGCAAGCTAACCTACCAGTGGGAGTGTCTGCCCCTGGTGGTCAGTGCATGTCATAGCAACTGGTCAAACAGCATATTATGCTTTTATTATATAGGATAACCCTAATACTATTTTGCTACTGCCCATGCCTTTAGGGCAGAAATGCCACTCCTGAAAATTTATTGAGAAATTAGTTCAAAAGAAAAAAAAAAATCTCAAGATACAAAGATATTTATAATAGCACTATTAAAAATAACAAAAAATTGAAAATAACAGCTTAAATGTGGCACATTAACAGATTAAGAAGTGACTAAAAATTATGTCAAAATAGAAAACATTTGCTTTATAAAGTGAAAAATAAACCTGTCATTTTCAATTTAGAGAAGCCTAATTGCCATTCTGAAATAGCTTTTCCAAAAAATATTTACCTATTTTCTAACATTAGTAACATATCCAGTTTTAAAGGACTTGTGAAATCTAGGTATTCAAATTACTTTGCTAGTCAGAAACTATTCTGAGTAATATTAAAACCACATTTCCATAAACAGTAAATTTTGGGTCCTTGCCATAGATGGAAAGCATATAGGTTCTTTAACTAATAGATTATTTGATAACTAGAGACCCGGTGCACAAAATTCATCCACAGGGGTGGGGAGTCCCCTCAGCCCAGCCTGCACCCTCTCCAATCCAGGATCCTTTGGGGGATGTCTGACTGCCGGTTTAGGCCTGATCCCTGGGATTGCACCTAAACCGGCAGTTGGACTTCCCTCTCACAATCCAGGACCACTGGCTCTTAACTACTCACCTGCCTGCCTGCCTGACTGCCCCTAATTAACCCCCTCCCCCCACCTGCCAGCCTGATCACTCCGAACCGCCTCTGCCTGCCGGCCTCATCGGCCCCAACTGCCCTTCCTGCCAGCCTGAACACCCCCAACTGCCTTCTCCTGCCAGCCTGGTCACCCCCAACTGCCCCTCCTGCTGACCTTGTTGCCCCCAACTGCCCCCCCCCCACCAGCCTTGTTGCCCCTCACTGTGCCCCTCTGCTGGCCTGGTCGCCCCACACAGTCTGCCGTACAGTTGTTTGGTCGTCTCTCACTAAACCCCTGCAGGCCTGGTTGCCCCATGCAGTCTGCTGTTAGGCTGTTACTGTGAGGGCGTCTTGACCAAGTTGCATATTACCCTTTTATTAGTATAAATGTACACTATCAATTCTTCCCTACCTTACCCTGTAATTTATTTAGTCATTCCAAAAATAAATATTGAATGCTTCTATGTCTGAGGGACTAGTTTATAATAGCAAACAAGTAATCAATTCATCCAGCCAGTGTGGCTAAGTGGTTGAAAGTCAACCTATGAAACAGGAGGTCATGGCTCAATTCTGGGTCAGGGCATATGCCCGGGTTACAAGCTTGATCCCCAGTAGGGGATATGCAGGAGACAACCAATCGATGATTCTCTCTCATCGCTGATGTTTCTATTTCTCTCTCCCTCTCCCTTCCTCTGAAATCAATAAAAGATATATTTAAAAAAAAAAAAAAAAAAAAACAATTATAAAACTCTTAGAAGAAAACAGTAAATTTTCATGACCTTGCATTAGGTAAAGATTTCTCACCAAGAGCACAAGTGATAAGAAATTGGATCGAGAAACTGTGCCCAGAATATATAAAGAACTCTTACAAATCCATAGTAAGAAAACAACCCAATATTTTTCTAGTGGGCAAAAAATGTGAACAGACATTTCACATGAATTGTCAAATAAGTACATGAGATGACATCCAACATCATTAATTATAAGAGAACTGCATATAAAAACCAAAATACCATTTTATATCCACTAGAATGTTATCAGAAAGAGAGGAATAACAAGTCTTGCCAAGAACTAGAAAAGAATGGAACCTTCATACATTAATGGTGAGAATGTATAATGGTATGACCATTTCGGTAGTTTCTTAAAAAGTTGAATATAAAGTTACCACATGACCCAGAAATTCTATTCTTAGGTCTCTTTACAAGGAAAAAATTAAATAAAAAGATGTCCACACAAAGACTTATCTATAAATGTTCATAGCAGCACTATTCACAGTAGCCAAAAAGCAGAAGGAATATAAATGTCTATTAACTAGACAGCTTGGCTCAGTGGATAGAGCGTCGGCCTGAAGATTGAAAGGTCCCAGGTTCAATTCTAGTCAAGGGCACATGCCTAGGTTGCAAGATCGATCCCCAGGATGGGGCATGCAGGAGGCAGTTGATCAATGATTCTCACTCATCATTGATATTTCTATCTCTTTCCCTCTCCCTTCCTCTCTGAAACCAATAAAAATATATTTAAAAAATAAAAGTTTACAAAAATGTCTATTAACTGGTGCATGGATAAACAAATTGTGGTATATCCTTATAATGGAATACTCTTCAGCAATTAAATGAAATGAAGTCCTATTCCATGCTACAACGTGGATAGAATTCTGGACAAAATACAGCAAACTGAATTCCACAACAAATAAAAAGGATTATGTACATATACTATCACCAAGAAGGATTTTTTTCCAAGAATTCAAGGTTGGTTTAACATCAACCTTTAAAATCAATTAATGTAATATACTATTTTTATCAAATGATCTTAAAAAGTTAGTGTTCTTTAGTCTAACAGATGCTAAGTAAAAAAGAAGCCCCAAACTAAGGACCACATATTGTCCAATTTCACATATATGAAATATTCAGAAAAGGCAAATACATAGCGACAGAAAATAGATTATTGGTTATCTGGGGCTGGGGTGGAAATAAGGAACAATGGATCTTTGAACACAAGGGATCTTTTGGTGGTGATAGAAATGTTCTAAAACTGGATTTTGCTGCCTGGTGGCATGGCTCAGTGGTTGAATTAGGAGGGTGATCCTATGAATCAGGAGGTCATGGTTTAAGTCTCAATCCAAACACATGCCCAGGTTGCAGGCATGATCCCCAGTGTGCGGCGTGCAGGAAGCAGCTGATCAATGATTCTCTCTCATCGTTGATGTTTCTATCTCCCTCTCCCTTTCTCTCTGAAATCAATAAAAATATTTTTTAAAAAATAAAAATAACCTAAATTCTAACTACAAGACTTAATATCTTAAAAGCAAAAAATTCTCTCATCATTATATCCTTTCTACTTAAAGTGCCCAGAATCAATAAGAATGTTGAACTGAAAAATAAACTTGCCATTACTAAAAGGTTTTCTGAAAAATAAAAATGAAATAGTTCTAGAGGGAGAAAAAAAAAAACCAAACAATAAAATATATTTAAAAAAACACACACACACAAAAAACAAAACAACGAAATCAACTTTACTAACCTGAATTTTGTTTAGAGCCTGATGACCCTCCATGTTCTAGTTTTGCTTTCTTCTTCTTCGATGATGATGCTGATGACTCAGAAGATACTGAACGTTTTTCTACTACAGGAGTGTTAAGGGCTCGTTTTCTGAACAGCTCCCTTTCTCTCAAAAGGCTTGGATCCATAATGCTGCAAAGATAAAAATAAGTACCTTAATACAGATGCCAGTCACTCGAACCTATATGCTCAATTTGTAAGTCTCACCAAGAGTTACTTCCCAAACAAAATTATCTAGTTGTCTAGCGTTTGTACTCACTTACTCATTCATACAAAAAACCTTTAATTAGTGCCTATTATATGCCAAGCACTGTGTTAGGCACTAGTAAAGAGAAATAGACTTGCTCTCTACAACTCCTGAACTGCACTCTCCAATTTGGTAGATAATGGCCACATGTGCCTATTGGGCACCCGAGGGGAGCTAGAGTTGAGATATACTCTAAATGTGAAATACACTCCAGATGGAAAAGACTTAGTACAGGAACAGAACTTTAATGATGCTAATGACATAATTTAGACTGATTCTACATTGATGTGATATTTGAGATATAGTGGATTAAAATATTAAAATTAATTTACCCTAAATTTTTTAGAAACTATGGCTACTAGAAAATCGTAAATTACATGTCTGACTCGCATTTGAAGCTTATACTGCAATTCCACTAAACAACACTGCTCTAGAAACATCAAGAATGCTGTCTTGCTGAAACCAATTTGGCTCAGTGGATAGATCGTCGGTCTACGGACTGAAGGGTCCCAGGTTCGATTCCGGTCAAGGGCATGTACCTTGGTTGTGGGCACATTCCCAGTGGGGGGTGTGCAAGAGGCAGCTGATCCATGTTTCTAACTCTTTATCCCTCTCCCTTCCTCTCTGTGAAAAATCAATAAAATATATTAAAAAAATAAAAAAGAATGCTTTCTACATCCACAAGTGTAAGGAAAAATAGGAGAAAGCAATGTTTTAAAATAGTCAAGATATACAAATATGTTATTTGGGTATTACTATTTTGAGTTGGATCTGAAAATAACCGATTAACTTATGCTGTGGGGAGGAAGAGACCATCTGGGGGGAGGGAAAGTGTCAGAACAGAAAGGAGAATTCACAAGTGATCAAGTAGGAGAGACAAGCCTAAAACAGGAAGCGTCTGTTTATTTCACCTTGTGAAGACAGGTGATTAACCCAGGCTTTCAAGCATGATTGTATCACAAACTTAAATAAGCCTTACAGTTTAAGGAGACATATGCGGTTATAGCATTTGATCCTCAAAGCCCTCTGAGATAAAAGGTATCAATTTATTACTCTTTTAATATGTAAAACCCAAAGTGGAGAGTTAGGGTTAAGGTCACAACAGCTGGAAGTACTTGGATCACAGAACCCAAACAGCCTCACTCCTAAATCAGTGCTCCACGACCCACAGCTGAGACACTGGCGAAGCCTCTCACACACTCCAGGTCACATTTTATTTACTGCCTTTAAGCGAGGTGCTCATGAGGAAGTGAGTACAAATGCTTTCATGTTCTCAAATGCACGCTTCTTGAAGGCAAGGATGTCTGTCTCGGCGCTTCGAGGCCTTTCCCAGCATTGTGGAGAGTGAGGGGCACTGGGTTTGGGAGTCAGGAGGTCCCGATCCGGATCCAGGGGCCTTCATTCCTCCTTCCTCCACACCTGGAATGCCCGTCAAGGCCTGTCTGTAAAAGGTGCGATACTGATCGCATTCCAAGGCCCAGAGCAGAAAGCTTCATGGCTGTCACCAACGAAAGCTCCGCCTCACTCTGCCTCCTCCTCTTAGGCGACCGCTCAAAACCTGTCGAGTTTTACATGTGTGGTCGACAGGACACATCACCCTGCCCGTGTTACACTGAAAAACAAAAACCACCACCACAACCCTGGGAGTTCACGTGTCCACGTGCCCGGGACACCGAGAAGCCAAAATTAAGTCACAATCTTCTGACGCCGCGTTCTTTCCAATACATGGTTCGACTTCTTCCAACCTCTTCCACTGGCCCCTCTCGCTTCTGTGGCTGCCTGAGCCTCAGCGGTGCCCCCGGCCCCCAAGAGCCCCGTTATGAATGGGCGGCCAGCTGAAGAGGGGCCGCGCACACCCTGGAGGGGGAGGAACGTGGACCGCGGCGCTTCGTTTGGCTTGGCAGAAAACCACCCCATGATAAACGAGGTCTCCAAAAGGCAGCTTACAACGGCAACTACAAAACCAGCCCGTGGACGAGCCTCCACATCACAGCCTTTCGCTGGTGGGACACGGTGGTTCCCCGAACTTCACACACTCGGCTCGCTCCCTAAGGCAAACTCCGGGGCGAGGACGAGGCTTCTACCCAACGGTGAATTCCCTCCCCCCACTTCCCACCCCAAAAGTTTGCTCCCTAAGCCGCCGGCCTCAGAGACAAGGCTCCCCAGAAGTTGTGAGGGTGTGGAGGGGCTCCGCGCTCCGCACGGCGGCCCCCGGCGCCCCGAGGGTGGGAGCCGCGCTCGCTCCGCCGGAGGAGGCGGCGGCGTCCGGAGGAAGCACAGGCCGGAACCCGCGCCCCCCGCCCGGCGGCGGCGGCGGCGGCGGCCCCTACCTGAGCGAGGAGGCCGCCCCACGCGACCCGCGCCGCCTCCCTGCGCCTCCGCCTCGCCAGCCTCTCCCGCCCGCGCGGCTGCCGCTCCCCGCTCCCAGTCGGCGCCCCCGCCGGCCCGAACGCTCACCCAGCGTCGCCCCGCCAGGCCGGGGTCCGGGGACTGGAGGCGGCGGCTGCGGCGGCGGAGGAGGGACTCGGCCCGGAGCCCCGCCCACCACTTCCGGATCAGGTTGCTCACACATCAATCCCGGCAGCCACCGCGGCGCCGCCGCCACCACCCACAGCGCGCGTGCGTCCTAGCGTGCTCCGCTGGGGGTCCCGCGGGAGGATAATCAGCCAGCCGTAGCGTTCTGGGTCTCCATGGCAACGGGAGGGGATGGCTGGGGCGGGGAGGAGAAAGGGCTCGGGTGCGAGGCCAGCGGCGGCCGCCACGATGGAAATCTTTCCTTGGCAGAAATGTAGAGCTACCAGATCTGCTTTGGAGCCTGTTTAACGCAAGTGGCAACGTGATTTTTCAAGTGACTGTCTACCAGGTTTTTGTGACTTGACATCAAATGCCTGTTACCAGCACCTAAACTTCAGAGAACATTGCTCCAGCTCTTTCTGCTGCAAGTGAGGAAACTAGAGGACTAGGGGAGCCAAGTGGCTTGCTTAGGACTGGAAAGGCCAATCCTGGAGTGAAGCCCTTTCTGAATTCTCAGCCACCACACCTGTGAGCTCCCTCAGAAAAAGATTTCGAATTCAGTTGCAACATAAATGGGTAGAAATAAAGCGAGGAGAAAGACTGGCCTTGGCCACAGCCTGCAATGCACAGTATGGGAGTGTGTCCCAGTTCTGTGGCTGTCCTCTCCTCACTTATAACCCAAAGCCGCAGAGAGCCTGTGCTCAACTACTCTGTAACTGTCGTTTAATTACTCCTCAACCTGTGTTGGTTTTTTCATCAGGAATAATTGTACTACCACAATTGCATTAGACTGTTGTGGAGATTAAATGAGATAATACATAATTTTTTATTCAAGTTTTGGAAACAAAACCAAAAGATTGTGTGGCTTTTTAAAATTGGTTTAACTCTAGAAGATTTTTGTAACAAACCCACTTGATGTTCATCTGACACTCTCAGGAAATTTAACTTCGAATAACAATTTAGTAGGGCTGAGGTTTTACAACTCAGTAATTCCAGATATTAACTGGTAAAAACCTGATGAGGTGTAATGGGGAGAAAGAACCAACATCAAATACAGAAAATAGTCCCAAAGGTTAAAAAATCAAGAAACATGAGCCAGCATTGTATCAATTTTCAGTTGATCATTCTCCAATGACTATATAAAATTCCAGTTCCTCATACTCTTGTAGAATCAGTTCTATCGTTCTGCTGGCTACCTTACCAAGAGTGAGAGACCTAATATACATAGTAACAATGGGTAGACCATATGATCATAAAACTGACCTGCATAAGAAACCAAGCCACAACCTTTGCAGCCATAAGCTCAGAATAGTCAGGATTTGTTCCATATGATCATAAAACTGACCTGCATAAGAAACCAAGCCACAACCTTTGCAGCCATAAGCTCAGAATAGTCAGGATTTGTTCAAAGGCAGCCAACTTCCTTATTTTAGGCACACATATACCCACTCCAACACACGCACCAGGACTAATAAGAGAAAACCAAGTATGCTCCCCAAAGCAATCACAGATATGCCCCACTTCTAGTTACTTCACCTCCAGCTCCCCTTGCCAACAACCTTTAATCACAGCATCCCAGGATTTTCTTACTGTGTTTCTGGTTTTTTTTTTTCACTTCACAGGTGTTGCATATTTTACATATTGAAGCCAAGACTCACCACCAGCAAAAAGATTACAACTCACTTTATTGGCAAACTCACTTTACGCTAGTGGTCTGAAACAGGAACCACAATGTCTCCAAAGGTACACTAGTACTTGTAAAGCTTCCCCTCTTTCTGATTGCCTTTGAGTCTCTGCCAACGTGATGGTGGCTGACTTAGCAAGCTCCGTAGTTTCTGTTCTCATTTAAGTGTTTTTCATTTTAAGCCCACTTGTGTGAAATAAAACTCTGACACATGCTCATTGTCTAGTCACGTGAGAATGGAGCCTAGCAATTAGAGAATAATGCTTTTAACTAGATCTACATATGGAAAGCACTCATTGAACTATTAAAAAATAGACTGAGAAACATCAACATTTTGAAGTTTATTTGCATTAAAATAGATTAAAGTCAGGCAGGCCTGAACCAAAAAAGATTAAGAGCACTCCACCAACCAGAGCTCAGGGAAAGGTGTTTATAGCTAAGACTAGCAAATCAAAGAAAGTATTTGATTGGCTATAGTTCAAGCCATTGCCTTATTAGGACAGCCTACTTGGTAGGTAGTGATTAGTTCTTAAATTTCATTTTCTCAAATTCAAATGTATTAACTCTGGCTTAGGTTTCAGTTTGCTTATGTAAGCTACCAGGTAAGCTACTAGGCATTAGAGTCACCACCGTCGAATGGCCTCCTTGCCTAAGTACTTTAACCAAATGCTCACATTATTCCTTTACTTCTTTTTAAAAATACATGGTTTTTATTTCAAAGAGAGAAAGAGAGAAAAAGAAACATCAACGATGAGAGAGAATCAGCTATCAGCTGCCTCCTGCACCTCCCGAACCCCCACTGGGGATTGAGCCTCTAACCCAAGCATGTGCCCTAACCAGGAATTGAACAGAGACCTCCTGGTTCATGGGTCAATGCTCAATCATTGAGCCACATAATCTGGGTTCCTTTATTTCTTTTCTTTTTTCTCTCTCTTTTTTTTTTTTAATGTTTATATTGATTTGAGAGAGAGGAAGAGGGAGAGAGAGAGAGAGAAACATTGATGGGTTGCCTCCTGCACACCAGCATTAAGGACTGAGCCAGAAATCCTGGCATATGCCCTGATCAGGAATCGAACCAGCAACCTTTCAGCGCACAGGGTGGCTCTCAACCAACTGAGCCACACTGGCCAGGGCAATTATTCCTTTATTTCAATGTCTTGTCTCATCTCAGCTAGTTGACACAGATTTTGGACAGTTAAGCCTTCTAATGGCAATATTAGAGTGTTATTTATAATGCAAACTCCCAAATCTCATTTACCCAAATATTAGCTATTATTTTCATTGCCCAACTTGAAACCCCCCCTAATCAGCCCTAATTAGCTTGATTTCAGAAAATTCAAGATTTGGGGTTAAATTCATATTTTCATTCTGCCTTCACATCCTTGTTACACAATAGAGACACCATATGAGGCAACCTCTAACCAGAGATTAGGGAAGTGATAGGGAAATATCCCACTCTAAGTGTGGGACATAACTATTTATAAATTTTATAGGGACATGGCTATTTGTGTAATATCCACAAAGTCTCAACCTCTGATGCTTTAATAAACCTTTATTATAATTAAAACCACCTACATGTTGGCATCCTCGGTATTTCAGAGCAGAAGGTGTGGCTAGTGTCAATTTATAATATATGAAGAATGATTCAAGCTACTAATGCAATGCAATTATGTCTTATCTCATGAATGTTTATAACATCCGAATACTTTTTGGTAGGAAGTGTGGTGGCTTCTTTAGGGAAATACAATTTGTGTATTTTATAAAACATTATTCTGTCCTGATCCATCCAAAACACCCAACCCAAAGAACACAACTCAATATAACCATCGGATTAATTCTAATACAGTGGCTTTTTTTACTATTTTATTGTGATAAAATATATGTAACAAAAGAATCTAAAACTTACCATTTTAAAGTGTACAACTTGGTGGCATTAATTACATTCACATTATGCAACCATCACTACTTCCAAGATTTTTCATCACCCCAAATAGAATTCTGTACCCATTAAGCAATAAATCTTCATTCCCTCCTCCCCAGGTAACTTTTTTTAAAAATATATTTTATTGATTTTTTACAGAGAGGAAGAGAGAGGGATAGAGAGTTAGAAACATTGATGAGAGAGAATCATCGACCAGCTGCCTCTGGCACACTCCCTACTGAGGATGTGCCTGCAACCAAGGTACAAGCCCTTGACTGGAATCGAGCCTTGGACCTTTCAGTCCACAGGCCAACGCTCTATCCACTGAGCCAAACCGGTTTGGGCCCCAGGTAACTTTTAATCTATTTTCTAGCTCTATGAATTTGCCTTTGTTCTAGATATTTTATGTAAGTGGAATAAACATTTTAAAATTTGTCTTTTTGTGTCTGGTTTATTTCGCTTGATGTAGTTTTCTAGATTCATCCATGTTGTAGCATGTATCAGAACTTCATTTTTTATGTGGTGGCTTAATTTTGTGTTTTAATTTCTTACATTATATAATTGTTTGGAAGAGGAGAACTGAAGTAAATAAATTTACTTCATTCTGCCATCAAATAACTACTGCCTTTCAACTCCCCTCACCTGGCAATCTATCTCAACTAACCAGACACAAATTCTCAAAATAGCCAACGAAGCAAGTTAACCCACATCTACAATCAAGTGCTAAAGGATGTACTTTGCTCATCCTCTGTCCTGGATTTCTCTAGCATTAAAGATCTCTCCTCCCTTGAGGCTTTTCCTACCTCCAACAGCTTTTCATCCACATCCAAGTCAGATTCGTGGAAAGGGAAGTTTGAAGACCCGAAAATCATGCCTACTCATTTTCCAAACACGTAAAGGATCAAAATGTTGGCTCTTTTGAATTATAAATATTGGTGTGAAAAACCATTCACACACCTTTGCTCTCTTGCAGACAACAAAACATTCTGTGCACTTGCATTACTTAAATGTGAGCAGCTGCTATCGTCCTCTATAAAAAGTGGCAAGCCAGCCCTGGCCAGTGTGGCTCAGTTGGTTGGGCACCGTCCCGTGCACCAAAAGGTTGCCGATTTGATTCCTGGTCAGGACACAGGTTGGGTCCCAACTGGGGTGCCCATGAAAGGCAATCAATCAATGTTTATCTCTCACACTGATGTTTCTCCTCTCTCTTTCCCTTCCTCCCTGCCTGCCTTATTCCCTCTAAAATCAATAAAAACATATTTTTAAAAAAAGTGGTAAGCTGTATGCATTCAAGTACATTCTTAATTGTGGTTCATATAGATTTACACTTGGGAAGAGGCTGAAACAAAAACAAAACCAGCTAACAGAGCCGTTAATTAAAAAACGTATTAAT